TAAGTTTGTAGCAACCATTTCATTAATTGTTGTGGTAACAGGTGTCGCCTTAGAGGGTTGACAATTCATTAAGCAGTGTTCTGAAGGAAAGGACAAAGTTCTAGTCTTCCAATCAATCTGTGGGTTATGCAGAGCAAGCCAGGGTATACCCAAAATCACTGGAAACTGTGTTGAGGAAATTAGGTGGAAAGATATAGACTCATGGTGATTCACTTCCAGAATCAATTTTAAGGGCACAGTCTCATGTGTAACCGGGCCTGACGTAAGTGGAGAACCGTCTACTGTTTCCATTAACACAGGTGAAGATTTAGGGATAGACTGAATTTTATTTCCTGCTGCAAATTTAATGTCCATAAAGTTTCCGCCTGCTCCGGAATCTATCATAGCTGTAGTTGAAATTTTATTATCACCATATTGCAAAGTGATAGGCACCACCAAATGAGGATGTTGAGTCATCATACCTTCTTCACCCTGAGCCAGAGAAAACAAGGGTTGTGTGACAGAATCCAGTTGGTCTGAAATCTGGGATTGGTGTTGAATCTGTGCACCCTCAGCAGTCATAGCTATTGTTCTTTTAGACTTGTTAGGGCAATTGATGGCATAATGCCCTGCACTACCACAATACAGGCATAAGTTGTGAGTGCGTCGCCACTGTTTTTCTTCATTGGATAATGGCCCTCTTATTAGATCTACCTGCATAGCCTCAGGTTCAGAGTCTGTAGGTGTTTGTGGGGTCGGAGTAGAAATTCTTGAATAGAAAGTAGGAGTAGCACTTGGTTTAAAAGAGCCCTGTCTTTCCAATCTTCTTTCTGAAAGTCTCCGATCAATACGGATAGCCAACCGCACAAATGCATCAAACTCAACAGGAAGATCAACACGAGCTAGCTCATCTTTTATAGCTTCTGAGAGACCCCTTCTGAAGTGGAACCTCTGGGCTGATTGGTTCCAAGTAGTATCAGTAACCCACTGTCTGAATTCAGCAGCATATTCAGCCACAGAGCGCCTCCCTTGATGTAAATGAAGGAGAGTGGCTTCTGCTGTAGCACAGCGATTGGGATCATCAAAAACTAGGCACATGGCCTCAAGAAAGTCTTTTAAATTTCCCAAGATTGGACTGTCCTGTTCCAGAAAAGGGGAGCCCCAGGCCAGGGCTTCATCTTTGAAGAGGGAAAAAATAAATCCCACCTTCTCTCTTTCAGATGGAAAACGGTTAGGTAACATCATGAAATGCAAACGGCATTGATTTAGGAAACCCCTGAATTTTTTGCGGTCTCCTCCAAATTTTTCTGGTAGAGGCAAGCGGGCATCTTGTGCAGGTGTAACAGTAGTAGTAGCAGCAGCCGCAACATCATGTGCCCTGTAGCTGGTAAGCTCACTATGCATTGATCGAACTTCATTTTGCAGTTCAGCTACCTGATCCTGCAGCACTTGAATGGTCTGTGCCTGGGTCTGCATAGTTCTTGCATTAAAAGCAACCTGCTGGGCCAATGCAGAATCTGATCCGACGGTCTCCATGAATGGGCCAGATTATTCTGTAATGATATTGATGTTACAAAGTTTTGGAGTCCAGTAGCCAGATCAGCAATGTTTTCTGCCAGAGGTAGCCACTCGTTACCCAGGTGGTTGAGCCCCTGAGCCTTGAGTGGCCTTCTGGTCTTAAGCAGAGATGGGAGACTGGAACAGAAAGATGATAATCGTAGTGAGGCAAGCCGAGGTCAGTGGGAAGGAGAAGCAGCAAAGTCAAAACAGTCCAAATTCAGCAACAGGAAGGAGAAACAGGAACACGCTGGATTAGAGAGTACAGGAACCACAATAATCTGGCAAAGGTACAGAGACAGGAAGTGGCTTTTATAGGCCAAGAACCAGACACCTGACCAGACACAGCTGAAGAGAGTTGTCACTGATAACCTTGACTCTACAAGCAATGGTATCAGATCTCAGGTGAATTTGCAAAAGGCAGGCTGGTGTACTGGTAAGGAAGAGGTTTAGCACCATGTAAACCAGGGTTCGAAACCCAGCAGAGTCAGTTCCTCACAGTGTGTGTGTATATATATATATGTGTATATATATATATATATATATATATATAATTATATTTTTTTTATTTTTTTTAGATTAGTTGAAGTAGAGATTGTACCCTCTGCAAAAATGGTGTCTATTTTCTAACAAACCTGTGTCTTATCTACACTCATGTTGCTTTAACCCCTGTATCACAACTCAACTTTGAATTCTATGTGTCGTCTTGCTCAGAAATGCTTCAGACTTGAGTGTAGTCGTGGCGTCTCGGTGTGTGTACGGTGACCTAAAGTGGTGGAGGAGCCGTACCCTTGCATTCGTGGGGTGAATTGTGCGCTGTTGGCTGGGTCCCAAACCCTGTGCTGTGGCTCTTGGGGTAAGTTAGTAGCCATGACTGGTAGTCCCAGTTTCACTAGAAGTGCGGGTACCTCCGTGTCCGACGTTATCTTGTAGGTGATGTCGTTGTGGGGGGGGAGTAGCAGGGATCTTTGTGGTCCCCAGCGGTAAGGCACTCCTAATGTGCGTAAGTGACTTGTGAGTTGGGTCAGTGACTTGCGCCATTGCAACGTGGCTCGGGTTAAGTCCTGATAGAACGACAACTGGGCCATTTCAAATGTAAGAGGGGTTTTACCACTGGTTGCGGACAGAACTTGGTTGTTATCATGGGAAGTGGCACATCGCAATATGACATCCCAGCTCGCTGCATTAGGTGTTTTGGAGGTGGCTGGAAGTCTGTATAGGCCATCGAGCACAATTTTCCGGCTAACTGCCGGTGGCAGGATGGTGGCCAGGAGTCTCCTTACGTAATGCGGCAGATCGTCGGCTTGAATGTCTGCGGGTATTCCCCTAATTTTTATGTGGATTCGTCTGGCGCGGTCTTCGTGCGTGGACATTTGAAGCGTTAGGCTTAGCTGTGAGGCTTGCAGTTGCTTTATTGTATGTTGCGTGTTTGTCATGCTGCTTTGTAGGTACATGATGTCGTCTCCCGTCGCTCGGTCAAGATCGGTGACATTTTGCATGTCAGCTTTCAGGAGTCCCACGTCCGTAGCCAGCATCTTTTGTATGTCCTGCATCCAGTTTTGTAGATTTTGCTTGGTGGCAAGTGAGGTGTCACCCGGCATCGTGATTGCTGTGTCTGTTTGGGTAGAGGGGTGGCGTCTGGTCAGAAGTGGCCTTTTTGGGTTGCGTCTGCCACTGTAGTAAGGTGCCGATGTCGTGTTCTGTGGAGGAGTCTGTGTGAGCCTTTTGCGTGCACTTCCCCATGGGCTTGGGTGTTTCGGGTAGATGCGGGTAGAAGTCGCTTTCCGGGTCAGTCACCCTGTATGTAGGCGCCGCCGAGCAGCTTCTCGAGATTGTGGATGGTCGGTGTGTGGTAGGCCATGGGCCTACGTTTTACTTTGCTAGACCTCGGTGTGTGTTGGAAAGGCATCTCCCGATTCGGTGTTCGATCCTGATATCGATTTTTGGTGTGCTAAGGGCTGGATGTCAGGCGCTTCTCAAGATAATTGCTATTTTTAGCTTTCAAGGTAGGAGCCCGCCGATATGTCGTCTGCTCATCTTCAGGTCCTAGCCCTGCCCTCAAGTATAGGTTTTAAGGTGATTTGGAAAGTTACGTTTTACCATATGGTAGCCCAGGAATGTGGATTAACCCCATCATGGCATACCATTTGCAAATGTAGACAACCCAGTGTATTCAAAATGGGGTATGTCCAGTGTTGTGTAGTAGTCACGAACACTGGCCAAAGTTAGCGGATTCATTGGCTTTTATTTTTATTTTTTTTTAAACAAAAACTGCACTTTCACTGGTGATATCACTGTCGTGATAAGTTTTACTGTTTTGAAAAGCTAATTTGTGTTCAGCGAAGTCTCCCGAGTATAACAGTACCCCCATGTTCTGGTTTAGTGTTTTTTGAAAGTTACATGATCAAATATAAGGCTTGCCCACTTAATTTGTTTTCATTGAAATTTGCCAAATTGGTTATGTTGCCTTTGAGACCGTATGGTAGCCCAGGAATAAGAATTACCCCCATGATGGTATACCATTTTCAAAAGTAGACAACCCAAGGTATTGCATATCGGGTATGTCCAGTTTTTTCTAGTAGCCACTTAGTCACAAACACTGGCCAAACTTAGCGTTTATATTTGTTGGGGGGTTTTCTTTTGCAAAAAATATAATGCTGACTTGGGTTGCTAAAAATGACTGGACATACCCCATTTTGAATACCCTAGGTGGTCTACTTTATTTAAATATGTCCTCGTGGGGTTAATTTTCATTTCTGGGCTGCCATACCATCTCAAATGCAACATAGCCAATCTGACAAATAGCAATTTACAAAAACAGAAATTGGCAAATCTTATGTTTGACCCTGTAACTTTCCAAATCACCGTAAAATCTGTACTTGAGGGGTACTGTTGTACTCGTGAGACATTACTCTACATAAATGAGTGTGTTAAAGCAATAAAATGTATTATACTGATATCATCTGTGAAATGGCAGTTTGTGTAAAAAATGCAAAAAAACCCTAATCTGAACGCTCCATTTTGGTCAGGGTGGCTACTAAAAAAAAAAAAAAAATGGATATAACCCATTTTGAATACCGTGGGTTGTCTACTTTAAAAAAAAAATAAAATAAAAAATACCCTGAATACGTTGCTTACTGATTAAATAAATAACAATTGTCAAATTTAAAATGAATAAAAAAAAAAAATATATAATTTCTTGATCATTATTCATGCCAGCATTTACTCATGGGTTAGCTCCTCCCCTTACAGCAGAAAGGACAGGAAACAGAACTTTGAAACTGATATAAATAGATCCTCCCCCTTCCCATCAGGCAGTCTTTTTTTCCCTGTCCTTCACAGCAGTTTGGAAGGAGTCTGCTTATGCAGGCCTAGATTTTTTTTCTTTTATGCTCACCAGGCAATATTTTTTAGGCCCTGCCGGGGTTCAGCCTCTAAGCCCCGAAGACCCAGCAATACGCACTAAGATGAAGTGGCTATCCTGGGTACCCCGTTTAGTGACCAGTGGTCGGACCCAACCTCTCCCTGAAGGGATGATGTGACAAGACCAATCTCGCCACATTGCATTGGAGAAGCCTGGTTGCTCGCCTGCTGCCTCTGGACTATGGCCCCCTGTTAAAAGACTTTATTTTGCCTGCAGAAAAGCTGTATTCATGCTTTTCTGCCGGTTGTTCGGTAGATTCAATCTACCGAACAACCGCACGAATGAATAGACCACCTGGGAGCTGGAGTGTGACGAATACTGGGTGGCCACCATTCGTATCCCGAACGCGAGGTCGCGGCCATTTTAAACATACGAATGCACAGCGGTGTTTGCCCCTATTTTCATGGAACTAAAATCGGACACAGTTTTGCGCGAACACCGCTGAAGCCGCCGACCTCCCTTCTTGTTCGGTGGAAGTGCACGAACGGCCCGGTGTTCGGTAGTTTTGTTCGAATGTGTTATACCCCAGGTAGGAATCCCATGGAGCCCATTCGTATGAAACTGACTGTAAAGACTTTGGCTCCATGGCGATTACACTGTATTCGTGTGGTCTGAGCGCCATTCGCTTAATAATGTGCGCTCAGACCTGAGCTATCTGGGGATATGTTACATGTCTGTGTTTTATGTAATAAATGTTACTTAATGTATTTTAAAGTATAATACTGGTTTTGTGTCCCCACATGTGTAATGGAGTTTTGCCTTTGTCTTGGGAGATAATTTAATTACTTCCCAATTATCTCCCAGGGCAGAGGGGAGGAAGCCAGGATGCATTGTGGGAATATATTGTGACTGTGTGTCCTATTTGTCTACTTGTCTGTCTTTTGTCACAGTCTCCCATTTGGTCCCCTAGGGGAGTGTCCACCAGGTGGGAGACCTGCATAAATACTGGGCAGGTAGCCTTCATTAAACAGACCACTGCTTGACCCTCAACACGGAGCCTTGTCTCGTCTTTGGGGGGATTTACTGTATGCTGCTAAGGACTGATTGCCAGGAGTGTAAGCCGCTTGGGAGCTTTTCCTGTTCGTCTGTTAGCAGCTATTCGTGAGGTTCCAGTTCGGGAGTTTGGAGTGCTACCTTATTCCCTTGTATGCAGTTCGGGAGTTTGGTGCATTCACTTGTATTCAATTCGTGAGTTTTGGGTGATTCTACAGTAGCTGTGCCTGTCTCTAAAAGGGGATTATCGTCTAAGCGTTTTTTTCCCCTTTTGTGCAAAACGGTCCGTTACAGATGAAAATGGTCCACTGCATGCCAGGGTTCAGCCTCTTATCCCTGAAGACCCAGCAACAGGCCAGCTTGGGTACCCCCTCAGGAGATGTATGTGATATACTGCCTACATGAAGCCAGGCCAGGGTTCAGCATCTTACCCCTGAAGACCCAGCAAACAGCATACCGGTAAGAGTTGCCAGCCTGGGTTCCTACTTCAGCAAACAGGGGTCTGTCCTATCTCTCTTGGAAGTGATGAAAGTAGTCCACTGCATACATGAGGCCCATTTGAGTCTAAGCCCTTATCCCTGAAGACCCAGCAAACAGCACATGTGTAAGAGTTGCCAGCCTGGGTACCTCCTTCAGCAATCAGGAGTCTAACCTATCCCTCTCCCTGAGGGGATAACAGCGGTACACTGCATACATGAGGCCCAACAGAGTTGTGACTACCGGGGTATACCTATTCTATGTATTCCACCTTGTATGGTGATGATGAACGGCATATTGGGTACAGATGGAAGCCTATAGTTTAAACAGTTTAGGCTGTCAGTTGTTCAAATCCCCATTTTGCCGCTGAAACACAGGCCTGCAACAGTTCAGGTAAGTGCATTAGTAATTTAGATTAAAACTAGTATAGGCACCTGGGTCTCTGTTCTTTCAGTCCCTCCCAGCTGCTTACATTAGGCTTCCTTTTAACAAATAGGTCACATTTAGGAGATTTGTGTGGTGAGCATTTAGGTAAGTTTATACATGGATGTTTGGTGCAAAAGAGTGCTGATAATACAAGTAAGCATTTGGCAAAGTAGTGTTGATAATGCAAAGAGGCATTGTGCAAAGGAGTGCTGATAATGCAATGAGACTTTGTGAAAAAGGGTGCTAATAATGGATATCCTGGCTGTATGAAGTCTGCTGGAATTCCACAGCCTGCAGACAGAGAAATATCCAAGGTAAGAGAACTTTCTTGGGTGTCTGATTGAAGTACACACATGTATATGACCGGTTTTAAAAACCTACCTCTAAGTACAAATACACACACACACTTGTTTCTATCAAGGTATGTGGCATTGATTGCTGTTATCTGTGCATTATCACAAACAAGCAGGCTTTTGCAGACAGTGGAAGAATATACTGCATAGGAGACCACTGGGCCTCAGTATCTGTACATAAACTGGTGGTGGTACAGCATCGGTATGTTTCCACTATATGCTCTAATGTGTGAATTGGTATGAAGTCTCAGTTTGTGTCCAGTATATGCTCTATGTATGAATTACTATGAGGACACAGCCTCCGTATATGTATCCACTATATGCTGTATGTATGAGTTCCTATAAGGACACAGCCTAAGTATATGTACCCACTATATGCTGTATGTATGAGTAACTGTGAGGACACAGCCTCAGTATATGTACCCACTATAGGCTCTATGTATGAGTTACAATGAGGACTCTGCCTCAGTATATGTATCCACTAGATGCTTTGTGTATGAGTTACTATGAGGACACAGCCTCTGTGTGTGTGTCTGTGTATGTGTATGTGTATGTATATATATGTGTGTGTATGTATGTGTGTGTGTGTATATATATATATATATATATATATATATATATATATATATATATATTTATTCTATCCACTAAATTGTCTATGTATGAGTTGATTGGGAGACTCTGCCTCAGTGTGTGTTCTTTATATGCTCTGAGTCGCTGTGAAAACACAGCCTCAGTATATGTCCTCTACATGCTCTATAGGTAAGATGGTGTGGAGACATTGCTTCAGTGTATCTGTTCTCTATATGATTGATGTATTAGTGAAAACACTATATATGTGAATGATATAAGTACATCCGCTATATGAGTCCAATCTAATACTGGTTCTATGTGTGGGTTGTGAGTCACAACCTCAGTATATGTGAGTGGTATATTATGTGCATGAAGTTCTGTTAAAACACAGCCTCAATTTATCTCACTCATATAATCTTAACATGTGTACAGGCATAGTGTCACTGTATATAGCAGATGTAGGCTATGTATGATTACTGTTTAAACAGACTCCGTATATGTAACTGATATATCTGTGTATAAGGTGCTGTCAGAAACATCCACAATGTATGTGATTCATATAATCTGTATGCAGGTTGGTAGTATTAGATAACCCCAATTTATGCACGGCATTGGTAGATTTAATAATACAAATGATCTAAGTTCTGTTTTGCACTGTAACAATGCCCAATTCTAGCAAATACAAATGCACTGTTGTACTGGGTAAGTAATAATTGCCTACTGTGGATTTTCTATTTCAGTTTTTTAAATGAAGTAGATAAGGAAACATACTGCTTTTGGCTTTGTATTAGATTCCTTCTCCCACAGGTGTTTCAGGATTAGCAATTAACACATTTTACCACTTCAGATAGATTGCAGGTGTTACTGAACCTGTCTGAGTGCCTCTCCCAGGAGAGGAGACCTGTTTTTCCAAAATGAAACATGGTAATGTGTAACAGAATTAATTGTTTTTTTTTGTTTGTTTGTTTTTTGTGTGTGCACTCCTATGTATTTATACATAAGACAATTCTACAAAAGTTTTTCTATTCTCTCTGTTCAAGATAGGGAATGTTTTTTTTCAGTTGGTGGCAGTGTTTTACCTTCAGATATATGCTGATTACTGATGCACAGCTTAGTAGATCATACTGATTGCAGGAGCACAAATTGGGCTATTAATTGATCTCATAAGTAGGTAATGCTGAAGCCATTACCTGACTTAAAAGCTGTTAATATTGGTTTTTCTTTCACCTGGTCATAACCTATTATTCTTTAATTTTGAATTAATTTCCTTAAAGCATACATTTTATATTCAGTATTCTCTTTTATCCCTTGGGGACCTGAAAGTTTGGCAATCCTTTTAGTATATGTCAGGAGTAGCATGCTTTTGGTTCTTAAGGCGTTAATGATCAGAAACTTCTGACCGATTCCCCTGTTGTGAAGGGGAACATTATAATTTCCTTTCTGCAATAAAGCTATTCTTTTAGGCTCATATGCTCCTGGTAACGTTGATGCTGTGTTTTGCTAGTAATTTAAGGTATTTCCAGTCCCCAGACCATTCTACAAGGTTTACTATTTCAGGTAAAATTCACCTGCTGCCTGAACAATAGAGTAAATCCCTAAACAGGTAGTTCAATTACTGACCTCTCTTCTGATATTCATGAGGATTCTTCTAGGTGTCCTTATATCTGGGATTTGCAACCAATGTGTGGCTTTCAATGGTTGATTCATCCTGCATAATATAATGTAATGCAGCTTGTTGATGACAAGCATTTGACTGATATGTTTTACATGGTCTCTGTACCTAGATCTGTATCAGTTATGGTCACTCCTAACATTGCATTGATTTAATACTTGTGGATTATATGCTTGGATTGGTGTTGATATCTTGCAGATATAACAAGCTGCTTATCACCATAGGCTCTGCCGTAAGTACTTCTTCACTATCTGAAGATAAGGTAAGAGTAAGTAGGTGGTGGTTGTTCTCATAAGGATAACTGAATATCTTCTACTATCCTGCTTATTATGTGTCTGTTGCCACAATGTATAATGTTCCTCTGGTTACCACCTTCCCATCAGTATCTTGCCTATTATATATATTTGTTGCACAACAGTCTCTAATAAATTTGATTATACTGTTTGGCATAATCTGTACTATTTACAAATGTAGGTACTGACGTGGTTGGCCTCCTTATAATTTAGTAGTTGCCACAAATTCTATGGTTCATACCGATATTTCTTTTTTCCCGCAACTAATCTGTATATGATTCTTCTTGCCTTTGCCTAGTAATGTTATTAGTTTATTCCTCTCCTGTGACTGATCATTGCTGTATCAATTCATCCACTGTGTGAGGTATTGTTGTGAATCTGAATTTTGCAACATTGGGTCATTGTTGCAGTGTTTTAATAACACTCTTATTTCCCTACTAGGCTCTGCCTCTTTCTGACAGGCAGATATTGATTTGTTCCTGTATCTTCAGGTAAGTAGTTCACTAGGCAAGAGGAAGCGGTGTGAATCGTATTTAATAAATACATCCAGTAAGTAGTAGGATTCTCAGTGTAATTCTCCCCGTGTTTAATAGCATGGTGTATCCGTTCTCATCCAACATTATCTGCTTGTTACAGTATGATCTCTGGAAGTTATGCCTTTGTCAAGGTTCTGATTTGATTATATCAATTCGGTTTTATATTTTATATCAGAATGCCATTATCCTTCTCTAGCTTATGCTATTATGGCTTTAATTCTGACTCTCTATATTTATTCAGGATATTTCAGATATTGAATGCCAGGAGGTTGCTGACCTTGCAGCCTCTAGGGAAAATTATCTTGTCTGAGCAGATTTTATGACAATTTCCTATTGATTCTTGTTTGGCTTTGTAAAGTCTTCTAAGATTTATACAGCTCAATAATGGTTTTATAGCTATTAGCTGTTTTTTAACTCTGTCCCTCCCTCTATATATACCGCTTGGGTATTCCCCATGAGTAAATGCCGCCATGAATAATGATCAGGAAAATGGAAAATTGTTTCATACTTACCGTAATTTTCTTTTCCTGATCACTTCATGGCACCATTACGTTCCCACCCATATACTATAGGAGTTGTGAAGCTAGTTACAAAGACTGCCTGATGGGAAGGGGGAGGATCTATTTATACCAGTTTCAAAGTTCTATTTCCTGTCCTTTCTGCTGTAAGGGGAGGAGCTAACCCATGAGTAAATGCTGCCATGAATAATGATCAGGAAAAGAAAATTACGGTAAGTATGAAACCATTTTCTCATAATAAAAAAAAAATATATATATATATATATATATATATATATATATATATATATTCTCTCTCTCTATCTCTCTATATATTTTAATAGGGGTAAATTACATTGGCCAGCTTCAAAAATATCCCAAATAGGACATGGATGCATGATGAAAAATTCCAAGTTGGAAAACTGGACTGCAGACCTTCCAAATAAGGTCTTTTTAGCCCGCAGAAAACCCAACACACCTACAGGTGATACTCGAAAAATTATAATATCATGCAAGAGTTCATTTATTTCAGTAATGCAACATAAAAGGGGAAACTAATATGATGGATGCATTACATGCAAAGCAAGATAGTTCAAGCCGTGATTTGTCAAAAGTGCGATGATTATGGCTTACAGCTCATGAAAACCCCAAATCCACAATCTCAGTAAATTAGAATATTACATGCAATCAATAAAACAAGGAGTGTACATAGAACAATATCGGACCTCTGAAAAGTATAAGCATGCATATGGACTCAGTACTTGGTTTGGGCCCCTTTTGCAGCAATTACTGCCTCAATATGGCATGGAAGCTATCAGCCTGTGGAACTGCTGAGGTGTTATGGAAGACCAGAATGCCTCAATAGCAGCCTTCAGCTCTTCTGCATTGTTTGGTCTTATGTCTCTCATCTTTCTCTTGGCAATGCCCCATAGATTCTCTATGGGGTTCAGGTCAGGTGAGTTTGCTGGCCAATCAAGCACAGTAATCCCACGGTCATTGAACCAGGCTTTGGTGCTTTTTGCAGTGTGGGCAGGTGCCAAGTCCTGCTGGAAAATGAAGTCAGCATTCCCATAAAGCTAGTCTGCGGAAGGAAGCATGAAGTGTTCCAAAATCTCATGGTAGACTGCTGCGTTGACCCTGGACTTAATGAAGCACAGTGGACCAACACCAGCAGATCACATGGCTCTCCAAATCAACACAGACTGTGGAAACTTCACACTGGACTTAAAGCATCTTGCAGTCTGTGCCTCTCCATTCTTCCTCCAGACTCTGGGTCCTTGGTTTCCAAATGAGATGCAAAAGTTGCTCTCATCAGAAAAGCGGACTTTGGACTACTGAGCAACAGGTCTGTTTTTCTTTAGCCCAGGTAAGACACTTCTGACATTTTGTTGTTCAGGAGCGGCTTGACAAGAGGAATACGACATCTGAAGCCCATGTCCAGGATCCGTCTGTGTGTGGTGGCTCTTAATGCTCTGACTCCAGCCTCAGTCCACTCCTTGTGAAAGTCCCCAACACTTTTGAATGGCCTTTTTCTGACAATCCTCTCCAGGCTGTGGTCATCCCTGCTGCCTGTGTACCTTATTCTTCCACACTTTTCCCTTCCACAACTTTCTATTAATGTGCTTTGAAACAGCACTTTGGGAACATCCAACTTCCTTCGCAATTACCTTTTGAGGCTTTCCCTCCTTGTGCAGAAAACTATAATGGACAACCTCCATAACTGTCAGGTCAGCAGTCTTCCCCATGATTGTGATTCCTTCTGAACCAGACTGAGAGACCATTTAAAGGCTCAGAAACCCTTTGCATATGTTATGGTTTACTTAGCTGATTAGAGTGGGACACCGTGAGCCTAGAATATTGCACCTTTTCACAATATTCTAATTTACTGCGATTTTGTGGATTTGGGGTTTTCATGAGCTGTAAGCCATAATCATCGCACTTATGACAAATCACGGCTTGAACTATTTTGCTTTGCATGTAATGCGTCTCTCATATATTAGTTTCCCCTTTTACGTTGCAATACTGAAATAAATGAACTTTTGCACAATATTATATTTTTTTCACGTATCACCTGTACACATGGGTGGTATCACTGTACTCCGGAGATGTTGCTGAACACATATTGGGGGTGTTCTTTGGTAATAACCCTTAAAGTTCTCAGTACACATTATTTAAATTGCTATGTGTGTCCAAAAAAAGTAATCAATTATATTTTTAAATTTTTTTAAATTTGGCATATATTGGTGGTAAAATGGCTGCATGAAAAGAGTCAAAATACCCCAAGTTTTAATAGCTTAGGTTGTCTTCTTTAAAAAAAATAAAAAAAAAATAAAAAATTATATACATGTGCATGGTGATTCAGGGCTTGGGGATCAAAGTTCGAAAAAGTGTTTTTTTTTTTGTTTTTTTTTAAATCTTTTTTATTTTTATATATATATATATATATATATATATATATATATATATATATATATATATATATATATAATTTACATGATATGAAAATAATGGTATCTTAAGAAAGACCATTTAATGGCGAGAAAAAAAGTATAATATCTGTGGGTACAGTAAAAGAAAAATTACAGCTAAACACAAACACTGCAGAAATGTAAAAACAGCCCTGGTCCCAAACTGTAAGAAAATTGAAAAACTGTCTGGTCACCCAGGGGTTAAGATTGATTTTTCACATCTCACTCACCTACACACAGCTTAGACTCTATGTGTGCACACACACACACACCTCCACCACCGCCCCCCCCTCTCTCTACCTACCTCCCCCCACCTCCGCTCTAATAGAAAAAAGATAAATTTAAACACATAAAAATAAAAAATGCATTTGTAGTATGGAATATTTTAAAAGGATGGCTACCCCTGCTTTATTCAGTTCATCCCTTTCAGAAAGGTTTAACAAGGGGTCAGGTAACAGGTAACTCCTAAAGAAGCCCCTCTGGGACCCCTCTAATGCTCATCAAGGATCACTTTTTCCCAATCTTTCTGAAGGGAAACCACCCTGGCGGAGAGCAGCCTGCAGCAGCCATCACAGCTCTGCCCTTCATATTTAACTAAACAGTCCTGTGCCCACTGGACCCTGGGGATACCACCCATACAGCCAGATACACATACAGCTGCTGAAGAAACCTCCCGTATACATAAATACTACACACAGTCCCATAAACACAATACCACTGACAAACAGCCTCCTGCACACAATGCCCCAAGTAACCTCACACAACACCGGGCACACAATATAACACACAATCCCACAAGCAGATCCCCAAACACAGCCCACATTCAAACCAATAACATAATACACAGCCCACATACATATGTGACACAATATACCACAAACTGCTCACATTAACGCAAACACACCCCTGCAAAGCAGCTGCACACCCATATAGAAGCCACTTTTACCAATTGAACCCCTGCATCCCAAGGGACTTCTAAGTAGTGTTTTGGCACAGTGCTGCTTAAAGGTTGCCTACTCCTGCCCTAGGTTTTGTTTTTGTTTTTTTGGTTTTTTTTAAGCATTGAGTAGTGGTGAATTGAAAACCAAATTTTAACATTTATTAAACATTTATTCCAACTCAAGATATGACATTAAAAAAATTTTGATTTTTTTTTCCCCCCTCTTCACATTTCCAGTTTTCAATTCTCTACCAAACCACGTTTAATGACTAAACCTTTATCCAACTATTGATTCCACAAGTGTTATATCTGAAATTTGTATAGTATGTCACACTGTATCAGCATAATTTTACATATGATCAAAATCAAAATAAAACCATTTTGAAATAACTAAAAGCATATCAAATGGATGTTAAATTGTGCTTTGAATTCAGAAGAGATCGTTGCTCTTCAGGGTGTCCCATGGCTTTATCATCCAAAGTACTTGATGTGATAGACTGCAGAGCAAAGACGATAATGGTGATCCATAGCTTGTGTCCTGGAGGCTGGCGGAAGTACCAGCCATGTAGTAAGGGTAGCTGCTAGTTCCTATCCAGTAGAAGGACCCTGGTGACATCACCAGACCATGTGACTGCTTGGTCACATGGTACAGAGAGCTACAGGAAGCAGCAAAGTGGGAAATCCAAATGAATGCAATGGACTGAGCTGTGCTGATCTGCTGCTGATGGGAGAGTTCTGATGTAATATTGATTTTAATTTTTACAAAACATCTTATTTCACAAGACAGCCTGGAAGCTGGAGGTTTGCAGTGTATGTAAAGCTGAACACTGCAGCCATTGCAGAGACTGAACATGGAGAATATTATGGAGACTGAAGAAAAAAGGGACTTTTAAGAGAAGTCACTTTTATTTCATATTTATATAGGTTTTTTTTTGCCAGTTAATTATGCAGTTATGTTAAAACCTGTATTTTAAATCTCTTTTTTGTCTTTAATTGTAGATATTAATCACTGTCCAACTGTTTTACAGAATACATTGATTATAATGGGACTTTTATATTTTTGTCTTTCTTACTCTCTCTCTCTCTCTCTCTCTCTCTCTCTCTCTTTGATAGCATCCCCACTGACAGTCAGTGTCTCTCTCTCCCATCCCCTCAGTGTGAGTGTGTGTCTCTCTCCCTCCCATCCCCTCATGGAGTGTGTAGGTGTTGCCATGGCAATGCTCCTGACATGCATTAAATGCCGTGCATAGCATTGCCATGGCAACCAGCGGCAACGCTCACACAGTTCGCGAGAAGAGAGGACACGATGCTACAGGAGGTGCAATATTACACTCCTGGGTCCCTTCTTCACAGGACACCGTATGCTGTGCCACCGGACCACAAGGGAATCCTGTGTGCCCCCACCCTGAAACAGGTAAGAGGGAGGGGGAAAAAATCAACTAAATTAATAAAAATATAAAAAAAAAAGTCCCCTCACAGCCCTTATCCAATCCCACTGCACTACATTCACTACACATAAAGACATTGCATCCACTACCCACACACACAGACACTGCAACCACTATACACAATGCATTTGCTACACACACTGTATAACATAATGGATGTGCGCAAAGCTTTTTTTGGGGGGTGGAGTGGAAGCATTTCATTCTTGGATTCTTGGGCCAGCCCTGCTCTCTCCCAGTCACTCACAGCAAATATCTCTCTCCTATCCACGCACAGCCAGTGTGTGTGTCTCCCACCCACGCACAGCCAGTGTGTGTGTCTCCCACCCACGCACAGCCAGTGTGTGTGTGTGTCTCTCCCACCCATGCACAGCCAGTGTGTCTCTCTCTCCCACCCACGCACAGCCAGTGTGTCTCTCTCTCCCACCCATGCACAGCCAGTGTGTGTGTCTCCCAGCCACGCACAGCCAGCGTGTCTCTCTCCCAGCCACACACAGCAAGTGTGTGTCTGTCCCACGCATTCCCCTCCTGCAAATCATTTCATGTAGCGTAGCCAAGGAACTGCAGTAACCCAGTCTAACAGGAAGTGCTCCCAGACAAAGTAGTGGATACAGAGATTCTCCACCACAGTTCACTCGACCACGCTACAAGTAGGTAAGCTGGCACTGCAGACGGAGGAAGACAGCAAAAAGAGGGGACGGACAAAGACACACAGGGGACTGACGGTGGACAAAAAGACACAGAGTGGGGCAGGGGTGGCAGAGATACACAGGGGCAAAGTGACCCATAAAGAGGCTTTGGGGGGCAAAGACACAAACAGAGGGGTTGGCGGGGACAAAGAGACAAGGAGGAGCATACTCAGAGGGGCTTAGCTGAACAAAGAGGCACACATAAGAGTTGGGGGGAATATAAAGGCACACGGCTGGAGGAACAAAGATACACAGAGGGGAAAAGAGACACATGGAAGGACAAAGACATACATCACTGTTTTATTCAGGGGCACTTATGCCCCGAGTAAGGGACCTAGCAACTTGGTCTTCTATCTGTTAACAAATAGATTGTATTATTTTAACTCAATCTTTATGAAAAATATCCCTTATTTAAAAAGAAATGTTTACCCTAATCTAATGTCCACTCCTCATTGAGTGTTGTATCTCATGTATGTGTATATGTCTTTACCACCCACCTATCATATGTGTGAGCGCCCATTCCTTGCGGCCTGCCTGGGAGTATGCCTTGCTTCTCCCATCTGCAGGTCAATCCACTTTGTGCAATATGCATGTGCTCTATGTATCACCAAACCTGTCCAATAAAATTCTCGCAGGGGGACTCAGAATAGGAGTATACCTCCCTTGAGAAGCTCAATAATCATACTTTTTGTTAAAGTAAGTATTTTAAAAATGAATTTTTTTTTTATTACTACTGCATGTTGAAACTTGATGAAAACATTTAACATAATTAGTTAGATTTTCTGTAATATATATTTTTAGTTTTTTTTACTTTTATTATTTATATCAGTGTTCATTCATTGTGGAGTTTTCCTTTTAATATGTTTATGGGAATAGAATAGAATAAACAGTTCGCCACGGACTCCAGTCAGCAGACACATTCCAGCCAATCAGCAGCAGACCCTCCCACCTCCTGGACAGCTCACTAAGAATGCAGCTTCAAAATGGATGCTGTCCAGGAGTTGGGAGGGTCTGGGAAGGAGGGTCTGCTGCTGATTGGCTGGAATGTGTCTGCTGACTGGAATTCGCGGCGAACCGTTCGCGATCAGTTCGGGACATCACTATGCAACAACTGTACATGTTTCACAATGTTAAACTTTATTCCTGTGTACTTTTAATAAAAAAGAAATTAAAATCTGTTTGTTTTCTTTTAACTATATGCCTATCCTGTTTTTCTTCTCCTGTGGGAAACCATGTTAGTCTGTAGCGGGCCAAGGGTAACCTGACTGGTTACATCAGCTAATACAGACACATTTTCCCCCCGTAACTGGATGACACACTGTTCCAGGGGTACAACAACCACTTTATTTGGCCACACAAACGCTCCCCCTGGATGCCGTTCGTCTATAGGAACGGCGCCCACCCAGGGAAGCACTCATTAATTACTTCCCTTGCGGTTTCACACTTATGTTGCGAGTTGCCAACGTTCTCATTGATTGGTGTGAGCACGCCAAGGGGGCATTGGAATCCGCAAATGCTCCCCCTGGATGGCGTTCGTCTAATGAACGGGCTGCCACCAAGGGTCGGCACGTGCCGAGGCTTACCTTGTGGTCTGTGGTTTTGACACCTCGTTACACAGTTTGAATGTTCTACGACAACATTCTAAATGGGGTTTCGTGGTGGTCCCCATTAAGGAGGCGAATGGAATCCGTTCGTATGGTGCTCCCGAAAGGGGAGCAGGCAAAGCACATGAATACATCACAATACAGGGAAAAACACGAGGAATAGCACATAGCAATTCACGGACAGGAACAGTCTCCCACAACCAAACAATTACTTTTCAGTCGCATGGGTATATTATACAATAAAATACGTGCACAATATGGAGGTAAGAAAATATTACAGCTCAAAAACACCTATAAAGTGGTATCCCCTACACCACTTAAAAACACATAATGATACATACATATAACAGGTGGCGCTCTTAAATAAAGATTCTGTGGATATTCTGCAAAATAAAATTAGTACAAAAAATAGTGCAATATGTCTTTAAAATACTATATTCAAAGGAGTAAAAAAAATAGTTGAAGCTCATATGACTCAAGTGGTATAATCCTCTGGACCATTTGGGGGTTGTCCAAACCCTTCATTCCCAGCGTTCTTAGTGGTTTTTCTTGTCTCTCTTGATTGGCTCCCAAATACAGAAATGCAAGATGCAAAAGATCCTTTCAAAGTGATTTTATTTCTCCAAAAATAAAAAGTAAAAACAGAGTTTAAAAATTGATATGTTACCAGATATTTCTGGATAGACTCAATAGTCCAAAACAGTGTTTTGCCTGATTAAAAGGCTTCCTCAGTTGGCTATTGTGTGTCCCATCTGTTGCTTTTTTAAAATGGGTATATTAATCTAATAAATTAAATCAAGACTCAACAAATCCCAGGCGCCAGATCGCCATGGCGACTAGGAATTTTCTCCTGGCGCTTGAGTATTTGTCAGTGCGTTCAGGGGGCTCGGGGAGAATGGAGGCGGCGGCCAAGGAGCTGTGATCTTGTTGCTCTGCTATGATGCTGGAAGCCGGCCCGCGAAGAGACAGAGCTACCCCACACTGGACCTGAGGGAAAGGAACGTAGGGAGGCTGGGTGCCATTAAATTAAAAAACTAATAATTTGTGAGTGTGCGAGAGAATGTGTGTGTGCCAGTATTATTATTAGTATTTATAAATCCCCAACAAATTCTGCAGCACTATACGATAGGTGTGTCTGTCACTGAGTGTGACTTGTGCGGTCACTTTTTTTTCCCACGCTGTGTTGGCTAGCAGTGACTGGCCCTGCCTCAATGGCTAATAATCATTCTTGATGATCTCAACCAGTCCATTGCTTCCCATAGGATAGCATTAGGAGACTACTGCACATGTGTGGCAAAAATGCGTCACTGCGCCAATCAGCATCTACTCATAGAGATGCATTTTCTCTCAAAAGGCAGTGTTTACATTGGTTTGTCCCTGCAGGGTTTACATAGACACCAGAATCACGATATTAAGTGTTGAAACATGTCCTGTCTTTGATGATCAGCAGAATTACCTGCCATGGTATTATAGTTCTAACCAAACTGTACCTTGCCCCCAAGTATTTGGAGACACTCTTGAGAGACCTGCAAAGGAGTCAGATTCAGAAAATTTCTAAAATTTATTAAACAGAACACCGCTTATAAATCTTATGCAATAAGGGGGGTCTAGTGGGAGTATCATTAATAACCAATCAAATATTGACAACTATTAACTAACAACATGGAAAGGTTGTGCAGACAGCATAAAATATGCAACAAATTGATTCTAAGTTTATCTAGGGGACATTACTAGGCAGGGTGTCCTTAGAATAGGAGGGTGTAGCGATAGGGTCTTACTAGAAGAGGGAGAATAAAGATGGTCATGTGCCATACTACGTATGTGACGTCCTTTCAAAGTACAAGGTTGTTACTCTTACGATTCAGCTGAACAGAAATTAACCACTTCATTAAGCTGTAGTGGTTCTGGGGCCTATAGTGTCCCTTTAAGAATTATATTTTTGTTGTTGAAAATATAGCTTTGTTAGTTTTAGAAAAAACAACAACCTGACTCCTAATTAACCTCGGATTAAGTCCACATAGTAGCAGGTGTGGTTTGTGAAATAGGAGCCCGGCCATAAGATGCTGCCTACAAAGTATTGTGTAGTGGACATGTCCAAAGGTAATGTGAACTAGCACAGCTGTGTATTGTCCTAAAAGCAAGGTAGAATATCTAAAAAAATGGCCAATAACTGCATTTTTCTCCTGCTAGATGTTTAAAGACCACACAGTTTAAGGTGGGAGGGCACTATGAGTCCAGGGTAGATGGAAGAATATTGAATAAATAAAATGATAAAAAAAAATTCTATGATATTTCTAGCCTTTCAAAGCATAGCAAGCAGATGTGAGTAGTAAACACAGTACCATATACCCATTCCGCTTTACAAAGTGTCATAAAATAAACCATTTTTTTTTTCACAATCTTCAGCTAACATGTCCTTATCAAAGTGTATGAAATTGCCCATAAAAAAAACACAAGTCACTACAGCCAACTGACAACAAGCTACCACAGCCCTTGCAAAATAAGCAACAAAATGGCCTACCCCAGCCTATAAATGGCAAACCATTGCAAAAGAACATTTTTTTTTTTTTTTTTAAATCAGTAAAACATACGGTTCATTAGGAAAAAGTTAATACTTGAGTAGGAGATAGTGCCATTTTCTGCAACAACTGGGGTACACCAAGTTTTACAAACGTTCTACAAAATTTTTAAAGACAGCCGGGAGTTTCTGCAGCTCAGATGAAGATTGATTGTGAGTAAATAGTTAAAAATACCACACAAGTGTAAAGTTAAAGGGCCATGTGTAAGGATTTTACAAGTGGTGCTGAAATAAATGGCGCCAAATAGTGGCACAATCTTAGTGTTCTCCAATTTCCAACATGAAGTCATGACAAAAGTAGGGAGTTTACGCTACTTGTGCTGTTTCTAAACTTCCATATTCCAGTGCAATGGATTTTATAAATATAACAGCCAATGCACCTCTTCTCACTTTCCTGACACTTGCGGCTGCCGCTCCCTGGACAAAATCACCCTCTATGAGTCCACGACAAATGAAAAAAAGTTGGAGTCAGAAATGAACCAGACCAGTACCCATAAACTAAACAATAAATATAGGTATATAATGACACTGTGGAAGTCAAAATAAGAAAAGAAAATCTCAGCATTAACAGTTCAGTGTATTTATGTGAATTTTATTTCAAAGCAATGACATGAATATGGGAGTTGTATCTAATCACAGTGCCATATATCCTCCCTCACCTTACGTGGGTCTATATACTGCCCACTTCAATTTCTCCATTGTCAGCAATTGCATCCCTTTACTTTCAAATTGACCTGCACCCACATACGCACTGTCCCCCACTTTCCACACTGCTACAGCTTTACAAAGTTCGGACCAACTCAGTCTCCCTACCGGCCCGCAGCATCCAGTCATCATGAGCCGCAAGGGTTGTAGAAGGTCTTTACGTGTAACAAACTCAGATCTCAGTACGTGCTGTCTTGTGCTCCACATAAGTTAAAATCATTCCCTCTAGCTGAGAAGTTTGCAATAAATAAAGGTTCATTAGCAGTATAAAAACTAGGAATTCTTATCCTTGTAAAGGATCACTATTAGCTTAAGGTTTACAGTCCCTTACCAGTATAAAAACTATGTAAAGGATCTTTGTGAGCTGGAGCTATAAAGGTCCTTTAACTGGATAGGAACTAGATTTCTCACTGTGAGCTGTCTAGTTCCTATCCCTGTAAGGGACCTGTAAGCTGGAGCTGTAAAGGTCCTTTTGCTGGATAGGAACTAGATTTCTCACTGTGAACCGTGTAGTTCCTATCCCTGTAAAGGCCCATTATTAGCTGAAGGTATAAAGGTCCCTTAGCAGTATAGGAACTAGGTATTACTATCCCTGTAAGGGACCTGTGTGAGCTGGAGCTGTAAAGGTCCTTTTGCTGGATAGGAACTAGATTTCTCACTGTGAACTGTCTATTTCCTATCCCTGTAAAGGACCTGTGTAAGCTGGAGCTATAAAGGTCCTTTTGCTGGATAGGAACTCGATTTCTCACTGTGAGCTGTCTAGTTCCTATCCTTTAAGAGGACCTGAACACTATGGAGCAATAGGTCCTTTAGCAGGATAGGAACTAGCTATCTCAGTGTGAGCAGGATAGTTCCTATCCCTATACAGGACTTGACCACTAGGGGCAAAAAGGTCCTTTAACTGGATAGGAACTAGATTTCTCACTGTGAGCAGTTTAATTCCTATTCCTGTAAGGGACCTGTGTGAGCTGGAGCTGTGAAGATCTTTTTGCTGGATTGGAACTAGATTTCTCACTGTGAGCTGTTTAGTTCCTATCCCTGTAAAGGACCATTGTTAGCTGAAGGTATACAGGTCCCTTAGCAGTATAGGAATTAGGTATTACTATCCCTGTAAGGGACCTGTGTAGGAACTCACTGTGAGCTGTCTAGTTCCTATCCTTTAAGAGGACCCAAACACTATGGAGCAATAGGTCCTTTAGCAGGATAGATATCAAAGAAAAATAAAGAGAGTACCTATCAATACAGAACAAAAAGAGAAAGGAAACTATCACTAAGTGCAAACTGTACAAATGAAGTACATATTTGAACACTAATACGATGAAAAAATGAAATAAATAAAATGAAAATAACAAATAACTTTATTAAATATAAATACTAAAAAGTATCGAAAAATAAAGAATGGAACACTAGTAAGTTAATAAAATCAATCAAAACGATATCCCATAGTGAGAGGATATTCTGATGTCTCAGGTTACAAAAGTACCACACTGCACACGTCTGCGCAGAGTGAAAGAAGAAAAGAGAGAGGGGGGAGGGTGGGCGGAGGAGAGGACGCCTAAGGTGATGATGTAGTAACTTGAGTAGTATAAAGCTAATCCAAGTCTATGGGTATAGCTGAAAATGGCTAACTATTAGAAAAAAATATATATTGAAAAGAAAATTTGTGTATCAAGATCGACAATAAACGGAAGGAGCTAAATAGCTATATCGTAAGAGAATGTCAGAATACAAAAGAACACAATAAATAACATAATAAAGAGATAGGATGCCCAATGGCAATAAATATAGTGTTAACTAGAGCATATCCGATACCGGACGGCTAGTGTCTGCATCATATTCTGAGGAAACAGTGATGGTACTAGCAATACACAGCTGAACTGGTATAAAGCTATTGCTAAAAAATAAAATGCAGCATCCAGTTCTGCATACGGCTCCAAAACTAACGTTGCTAAAATAGTAAGCTATATATTGTGAGCACAGATGTTACCAAATGGATACAAAGTTATCAAGTGAGAAATTCTGACAGCTATAACGTGCTGAATAGTACGGACTTCCATGCGACCAGGATAGGAACTAGCTCTCTCAGTGTGCGCTGTCTAGTTCCTATCCCTACACAGGACCTGACCAGTACTGGGCGAAAAGGTCCTTTAGAAGGATAGGAACTAGCTCTCTCACACTGAGCAAGCTATTTCCTATCCTCAGAAAGGACAGGGTCCTATTACTGGATAGGAACTAGTCACAACCATGTAGTAAGTGGTTGGCGGAAGTACCCAGCATTCACTAAATGGTTGGCGGAAGTTCCCAGCATTCACTAAATGGTTGGCGGAAGTACCCAGCATGTAGTATGTGGTTGGCGGAAAGCATGTCTACCGCTCACTCAGTATTGTGGGTTAGGGCGGATCTGTCAGCCAGGCCTGCTTCTTTCCGCCCGCTCTGTCCAGGCTCCCCCCCCGCTGTGACTCACCCGTTACCGGACGGGCTGGGTCCTGGAGAAAGATGACACGGGCTCCTGACCATCTTTAGGCGCCGAGCAAATGTCTCTGGAGCGCGGTGACTGCCAGAAAGCCCGTCCGCGTCCCCAGCCGCCGCCAGCACCGCAGGAGGTGCAGGAGGAGGTGTCCTACCCAGAGTGGATTAGCCAGAGCTACGTGGAGCTCATGAGTCTAAACGAGCACTCGATGCAGGCGCTGTCCTGGAGGAAGCTCTACCTGAGCCGAGCAAAGCTCAAAGCTTCCAGCCGGACCTCAGCGCTCCTCTCCGGCTTCGCCATGGTGAGTAGGAAAGGCTGTGCCCGGGCACCTCCTGACCCTCTCTATGGCACCTTCACTGGCATAGCCGCATGTACACTGCGGCTCCCACGCTGCCCATCCAGCCTGTAATCTAATAGCTGGAATGCCGCAATCCCTAGATCACCGCTCTGTGTGTGTGTGTGAGATTCTAACTGAGAGCTGGATTCATCCTAGAAATTGGTGTATTTTTAGTTTTTTGATCCATTTCATCAGTGCAGTAGCTGTTATTCTGTTATGATAACTGAATTATTCTTTCTGTGCTATATTATGGTAACTGTAGAGGATATAAGAATGACTATAGAAATCAGTGTGTGTACAATATATAAATATATATATATATATTTCCCTTTTTATATCATAATTTCCATGGGCAGTGGCAACAATAGTAGTATTGTATCTGTTCGTTGGTGCTTTTGACGAGTCAGATCAGAAATCTTTGGAGTCTATGCATATATACATATTTGGGCAAATACCGGTAGTTAATGTTTTTCCATTTCATTACTAAAGCCATATTTAACCATGTTCCAGAATTAATTACCGTACCATGGTGTTATTACCATTATGTGATAACGTTTATAAGGCACAGGCGTCATTTGGTTTTCTTGGATGTCATGGTGTATTTGTTGTCTTGTTTTTTTTGGGGGGGGGGGGGTTTGGTTTGTTTTTCTCCCATGTATCACCTGAACTTGAAAATATTTGCATTATGCCATAACATTTGTCTACACTGCCAATACAGGCAGCCTTGCTGTTGATAGACATCTAAAAAAATAAACTAAAAATTGATGTGCTTACTGATGCTTTAAATATGTTTGCTTCCACAGATGGCATATATACATGTAGCCATTGCCACAGTTTCTTGCTATATTTACAACGGTTCATTGATACCTTAACTTTTTATTTTATTGAAACATTTCATGTAAAATTTTGTAGACTTTGTTAAACAAATCTTGTTGAAAGTGAACAAATGTATCCCCCCCTCCCCCTCATTTTTCCTTTTCTATAAACTCAGACTATATTGTTTAAGTGATTATATTAAATCGTTATGAAATTGCGTAGTTAAATTGTGCATAAATTGACTTGGCATTCTTTTGTTTTCGCAGGAAATGTACGTTTTATTGGTGAAGTTTGTTGCATCCCCAACAAGCTCTTCCTTCAGTACCCCCAAAGGAAGATTATTGCTAGAAGGCTTGTTAATAAAACTGCTTATTACACTAAAATAGACTACTTAGAATTTATGGATTTCAGCTCCATTAATTCTACCAAGTAGTGCGTCAGAATGAATGTTTGAGAAAAGTCCCTGATTTGGAATGCATTCTTATGCAGGCATGGAAATTTCCGCTAGTCTACTCCCTTTAATCATCCAAGAAACTATAGCTATTATAGATTCATTGGTAAGGGAGTGTTAACCAGCTACACTAACTGCTTAACCTTTTGTGAATTGCAGGGAGGGGGTGTAAATTCAAATATATGTTTGAAGAGTTACCTTTTTCATTTCCACAAAATCGGGTGGAATGCCAACTTTAATTCTCCAGATCACCAACTCTTTCTTCTGGCAGGGAAAATGCAATGACATTTATAACAACCTGCTTATAAAGCTTTAATGCCAATGATACTGTAGAACTCAGTGTGTAGAAACTATGTCATGTTTCATGGCAAATACTCAATTACCCCAAATTTTGCACAGGTGTTTTTCTTTTTCTTTCTATTTAATAATTTCACTGACTTGAAAGGGTACAGCTAATATAAAAAAAAATTACGTTTGAGCTAAAGTTAGGTATTGCAGTGTGTGTAAAAAGTGGACATTTCTCGACTTGAGTATGTGTCAACGCATTCATGACAAGTGTTTTCTCCCAGCTAGATAAATGAGAACATGGAGTTTCAGTGTGTTCGAGTATGTGGTGCAGAAGTGCACAGTTGTCTTAAAATGAATACTGAAAGCTGACTTATTCAACATCCCCCATTGCCACTATGACTGTGCATTCTTAATGCTCTTATTAACTTTCCTTGCAGGAAACATATTTTTAGATTCTTGTATTTAATCTACATTTTTGACATTGTGTTCTTTCTTCAGCCGACTTTTTCCCTCCCTCTAGCGTGGCCTGGTGTCCTAGACCCAGTTCTTGCTGCTAAGCCTCTGCATAGTTTGGGATTATAAATCAAGTATTAATAGATTAGGATGTTTCCACAGTGCTGTTTAGCTACTGAATTTAATTGGATGACCTGTTGAAAGCCATTTTTTTTTAAAATATTACAGTGTACACATTGAGCCTTTTATTTTTATTTTTAGAAGGGAAATTGGTTTAAAGGTTTGTGTAGTAGGTGAACAGGCAAGAGCACACATGTAAAATTGTGCCAGCTGGGTTGAAAGTCTAAAAGGCAAACTGAATATTTTAGTTCCAGTTCTCCTTTATTCTACTTACCTGGGAATTCAATTATCTGTTACAACATAAGGTGTTTTGTAATTGCTGACATTAGTATATTGTCTCTCTATTTAAAGTTCCTGTGTAATGTAATGTCGTTACTGATTCTAGTTTGGCATCCACACGAGCTACCAGCAGCTGTTCCAACTCTTGCTATTTATTTTGACTCAAGGTTAGGCTGTGCTGCACATTTTAATGAGTCCTATGCTATCAGTATTGCATACCAAGATGAGAAAAGTCTTGCATTTCAAAAGGGCGTGTAAAGTAACACTGACAAAAATATTAATGCTGCAATGGCATGTTGAAGTTACATGAATTTACTGAACAATATAATAGCCTGAGGAGTAGGTTTTGGCCTAAAGTGCACAGTTTAACAAGTATTGCGCAATAAAATCTGTTTGTTTTGTAGGGTTGTAAGTACCTGAACTCCAAGTGACAGTGTACTTGCCTTTTCAGATCAAACTATAGTTTTTATCTAAATTCAAAGGTTTTAGAAACCTGATCGTCATGGGTGGGGGAAATCAACTTACGTGCACATGAGTCTTGAAAGTAAAATGCAAACTTTATGGCTAGGTTAGAGGTTAACGGCCACAAACAATGTTATTCTTGACAGGACTGTGTACGTATTTTGGATTGGAGGTTACATATTTTAGGTATAGCATTGCTTCATACAGTAATATCAAAATAGAGAAGCATAGGGACCATTACAGAGAGAAAATAGATAATTGCAAAGAGCTGAAGTGGGAGGATGGCAGTGTCAATAAATAATATATTAAATTCTTATGAAATGAGGGATGGTCCTCAATTTTTCTGTTTTCTAACTGCTGCATGTTTCAAAGCTGCACACCCTTCACCAATGGAGACAACTTCCTCTTACTGTATTCTTGAAATACTTTGCCCTGTTCTGATGTTTAGGATCTAAGGAGACGAGAAGAAAATTACTTGGACCTCATTAAGATTTTGTGGTGTGCTCTGTGCACCACAATGAAGAATGTGAGAGCTGCCTGCTGTTTGTTGGAAGTCTTGAGATTATTTTATTATATTGCATGTCAAATGAACACTCCAAGCACCATTAATACCATTGTGGTGATTATGGTGCATTTGACAAATTAACTGGGACCCTGCAACAAATGGTCTCCCAAAGAAGACAGGTGTCTATACTGAGTTAAAGGAATACTATAGGGTCAGGAACACAAACCTGTATTCCTGACCCTATTGTGTTAAAACCACCATTTAGGTGGCTTTCTCCCTGGAGGTATCTCTAGGGGGCAATGTAAACACCGCCTTTTCTTTGAAAAGGCAGTGTTTGCATGAAAATGCCAACAGGAAATGATTATAATGACCAGAACAACTACATTAAGCCGTAGTTGTTCTGGTGACTATAGTGTCCCTTTAAACCTGGCTGATCAAAGACCACACTCGTTGCTTAGCGCATTGGCAGTACCAGTAAGTGGCCGTCCCTAGCCTTTGGAGCTAACCTTATTCTCCAGCAGGGAATATCTGAGAAGACACTCTGTGAGACTCTAAAACACTTTGACAGAGTACTCGGTGTGTGTGCCAGGACACTTCTGGCACTATAACGTTGCAGTAGTTTTAGTATGGTCCTTAAAGTGTTCCTTTAAAGAGAATTTGTCATGACTCTACTCATTCCTCACTCATGTGCAGCCATTTATTCACAGAGATGGGTGTAACACTTCTGTGATACACACCTCTAGTCCGCCCTCATACCTCCTGCATTCTTTTGCCCTGTTTCCTTTGCAGGCCTCTTCTGTGATGCTGGCTTGATTATCAGCATACTTACATTGAACGGATTGACGCCAGTTTCTCATTTCCTTTACAACCAAGCCAGTGCTTGCAGCATTGGCTAGTGAGTTACAATAGCTTTTTATCTGAGCTGCATTTCATGAGGTTTTGTTGACCCAATATAAAGGTGTCATCATTGTTTAGAATGGATGAAAGTGTTGGTGTCTTGTCAGTCAGGATGTCTGCCAGTAATTTAGTATAGATATATTTGAAAGTAATATTCCTTTGTAGTAATCCTTTTGATGCTTTACATGTTATCGCTGTGCGTAGCACAGATCTGAAGAGAATAGGAAGAAAAAAAGAAAAAATCAGCGCTAGATTGCCACACAAGAAAATAATAATAAGGCTGCACTCCTCAAAGGGGAGTCCCCTATAATCCCCTGGTGATAAGAAGAAATACAAAAACAGAACAGTAAAATAAGGTTGTGCCTAAAATATATAATAAAATATATAAAATATTAATATAAAATAAGTAGTTGGCAGTAGTCCAAAACACTTATCATAAGTCCGTAATGGTCGTTGCCTCGTATGGATACAGGGATTCTTGAGATGTAAAACGAAGTGAGTCTTCACGATTATATGCTTGGGATCCAGTAGAGCATATGTTAAAAAAAAAAAAAAAAGACAGAAACAGGACTCCAATGGCACAGTATATAGATGAATAATATAATAAAATAAAACCTAGCTCTGATATTGCGCACATGAAGTGGAATAATCCCCACTCAAGGATATGCGGAGTGATATTTGATTGGCGAATATCTGGCTCAAAATTCGGTGTCCGAATTAGTGTTATTCAACCCAGAAAAAAAGCATAAAATATAGTGCTCTCTGTATAGTAATTAAAAGTTGTAAAAGAGTATAAAATATACTACTCACATTATTTAGAGCAGGCTTGTACTGCTCGATGTAAGCGCTTGGGTGGTATAATCCCCACCTATGGATTCTTTAGGCTTCTTGTAAAATATGCAGTATGTGTATAGTCAGGAGAAAAAAGAAAGCAAATGGCAATAAAGTATTATATGCCAAAATAATTTCTTTATTATAAAGTAGTAAAAATAGTATCTAAACGCGTTTCGCCTCAAGGGCTTCTTCAAGTAGATAATGGTAAAAAAGGGAACACGCCTGGCATGCAAAGGTTTATATAAGATACAATAATGCTATGGAATTTTGAAATTCCCACCAAAATGACATCATAGGAACCATAATATTATAGTGCAAATCAAAACAATGGTTAAAACTTAGATTTCTGTAGATACAAATAACATGAGGTAGGTACATTAATTAGAAATATAAAACGAGGGTTATAAAGGGTTTAAAATACATTAGAAAGGCGATTACGTGACGTGCGGCTAAAAACACTTCCATGCTCTTTGGAACGCATGCGTTCCATCTATATGGAACGCATGCGTCATCAGGAGGTGGGAGGGCTGTCTCATCTGATCGGTTAAGGGGGGCAGGAGTACAGGAGGCAGAGATCAGGCTGTTTGTCCTCACGAGCAGGCAGACAGCAATAGAAACAGCACATCTAAGTTTTTTTTATACTTGGGTAAAGTTGTTCAGGAAGGGCATTACCCTCTTTAGTGTTGGCCCGCTGAGGCCTTCTATTTCATTTGTACACCTCATGATAGTTTCAGTCAAAGACTGGAAAGATGTCACTGAGGGTACCTTCCTTTATCTAGTTGGTTGGATAGCAGAGTTTAATAATGTTTTCGTCACTGAAGTTCACTTTTAATAATGTCAGGAGCTCTTCAATATATGATAAATCTGTATAATTACATTAGTTACCAAAGTACAATTTAGCATATATATGGTGGCACATTATTTGGTGGTTGGTTTTATCTGGGATACTTTAGTCAGTGCATTTTTACCAACTCAGACTTTGGTAATTTAATAATTGCTTCCGACTCCACAGCACTGCCTGCCAGAATATTTTAAAGCGGCTCTGCCACCTCAAACTTGTCTTTCTCCTATTGTTTCATCTTCTCTTCCTCTTCAAGAATTTGTTTTTCATTTCTGATTTGGCTCTAAAACATAGGACAAAGTATTGTGATAAAGGGTGATGTTTAGAGCAAACATCTTGGGGGGTTGTCGTGAGGGGGGGAGGGGGGATCTGCCGGGTCTTCTATAGCTGAGATTATCAAGCTTGATTATGTCTTGACATACAATTGGCTGCAAACGCTGCACCAATCAGCATTTCCTCATAGAGATGCATTGAATCAATACATCTCTATGGGGAACGTTCAGTGCCTCCATGCAGAGCGTGGAGACGCTGAATGTTGGTGGTGCACACTGTGCAGCACTGACACAGGAAGCGCCTCTAGTGACGGTCACAAGAGTTGTCACTAGGAAGCTATATTCTTTGAAAAGGCAGTGTTTACATTGAAAGGTCTGCAGGGACAGGCTATAGACACCAAAACCACTACATTAAGCTGTAGTGGTCCTCGTGACTACACTGCTCAAAAAAATAAAGGGACACTTAAACAACACAATGTAACTCCAAGTCAATCACACTTCTGTGAAATCAAACTGTCCACTTAGGAAGCAACACTGAGTGACAATCAATTTCACATGCTGTTGTGCAAATGGGATAGACAACATGTGGAAATTATAGGCAATTAGTAAGACACCCCCAATAAAGGAGTGGTTCTGCAGGTGGTGACCACAAACCACTTCTCAGTTCCTATGCTTCCTGGCTGATGTTTTGGTCACTTTTGAATGCTGTTGGTGCTTTCACTCTAGTGGTAGCATGAGACGGAGTCTACAACCCACACAAGTGGTTCGGGTAGTGCATATCATCCAGGATGGCACATCAGTGCGAGCTGTAGCAAGAAGGTTTGCTGTGTCTGTCAGCGAAGTGTCCAGAGCATGGAGGCACTACCAGGAGACAGGCCAGTACATAAGGAGACGTGGAGGAGGCCGTAGGAGGGCAACAACCCAGCAGCAGGACCGCTACCTCCGCCTTTGTGCAAGGAGGAGCACTGCCAGAGCCCTGCAAAACGACCTCCAGCAGGCCACAAATGTGCATGTGTCTGCTCAAACGGTCAGAAACAGACTCCAGAGTGTGGTACGAGGGCCCGACGTTCACAGGTGGGGGTTGTGCTTACAGCCCAACACCGTGCAGGACGTTTGGCATTTGCCAGAGAACACCAAGATTGGCAAATTCGCCACTGGAGCCCTGTGCTCTTCACAGATGAAAGCAAGTTCACAGTGAGGACGTGACAGAGTCTGGAGACGCCGTGGAGAATGTTCTGCTGCCTGCAACATGCTCCCGCATGAACGGTTTGGCAGTGGGTCAGTAATGGTGTGAGGTGGCATTTTTTGGGGGGGGCCATACAGCACTCCATGTGCTCGCCAGAGGTAGCCTGACTGCCATTAGGTACCGAGATGAGATCCTCAGACCCCTTGTGAGACCATATGCTGGTGCGGCTGGCCCTGGGTTCCTCCTATTGCAAGACAATGCTAGACCTCATGTGGCTGGAGTGTGTCAGCAGTTCCTGCAAGACGAAGGCATTGATGCTATGGACTGGCCCGCCCGTTCCCCAGACCTGAATCCAATTGAGCACATCTGGGACATCATGTCTCGCTCCATCCACCAACGTCACGTTGCACCACAGACTGTCCAGGAGTTGTCAGATGCTTTAGCCCAGGTCTGGGAGGAGATCCCTCGGGAGACCATCATCCACCTCATCAGGAGCATGCACAGGCATTGTAGGGAGGTCATACAGGCACGTGGAGGCCACACACACTACTGAGCCTCATTTTGATTTGTTTTAAGGACATTACATCAAAGTTGGATCAGACTGTAGTGTATTTTTCCACTTTAATTTTGTGTGACTCCAAATCCAGACCACCATGGGTTGAAAAATTTGATTTCCATTTTTTTTAAATTTTGTGTGATTTTGTTGTCAGCACATCCAACAATGTAAAGAACAAAGTATTTCAGAAGAATATTTAATTCATTCAGATCTAGGATGTGTTATTTTTGTGTTCCCTTTATTTTTTTTGAGCAGTGTAGAATGTCCCTTTAAGAATTGTATTTTAAAGTCTGGCTGCTAGATTCAAAGCAAATTTGTCAAGCCCTGCTTTAGTGTGTGCCATTTTTTCATGCTAGTCATTTGTAAATTTACATTGCAAATGCTTCACTTTTCTGGATTTTTTTTTCTTCTTCACTGTGGTGGCTTCATCATCCCTCATTGCAGTGCATCATTGTTGGCAATCAATTAATTCAGATTTGTTTGCAAAACGTGTGTGTGTGTGTGTATATGTGTGTGTGTATGTGTGTATATATATATATATGTGTATGTGTGTATATATATATATATATATATATATATATGTATATATATATATATGTATATGTGTGTATATATATATATATATATATATGTGTGTGTATATATATATATATGTATATATACATACAATTTTTTACAATTTATTTAATGTTAGTGTTGCTTATTCTATTGAGGCAGCAAGAAAGATTCCCAGGCATTCAAAGTGTGAAAGCCGCAGGTAGATTTATTGAAACAAAAGACCGCAAGTTTCGACCTACTGAGAGGTCTTTGTCAAGCTAACGTGACAAAGACCTCTCATTAGGTCGAAACGTTGCTGTCTTTTTGTTTCAATAAATCTGCCTGCGGCTTTCACACTTTGAATGCCTGGGAATCTTTCTTGCTGCCTTGACGTGTTGGGATTGCTGGTCCTGTCCCGGAGCACCGGTGGTCGCTGGGAGTGAGTGCGGTTCCTATGATCAATTCTGCCTATTCTATTAAGCCTAATAAGGCTCCTTTAAAATTATAAATAACAATTTATCTGTAATCCAGCACCAAGACGATCTCAAAGAAGGCAGAGAGAGGCGAGACATCAGTTCTGATGATATCCATTAAATATAATGCTTCTCATAGAAATACAACAGGCACACAATGGCGTATGTGCAGCAATTGCCATGCTCTGCCAGTCTACTCACATATTTCTTACAGAGAAATATTGTGTCTATTGTTTCTGTACGTAGAGATGCTTTTGTGCCAGTCTGAGAACAGGAATTATCTGGCCTTTTGTGAAGTCACAAATTTAACTTTGGCATGTTCACATTCATCAGTTTTCAGATAAATGTGAATCTGTTCCAATATGCTACATATAGTGGGGCTTGTTTTATTAGTCAGCACAAGGTATTTTAGCAAGATATGGTACAATTTAAAATTTTGCTTTTTTTTTCACCAGTTTTCTTGACTGCTAATTAAATTGACTTTCTGTTTCTAATAGGTCGCAATGGTGGAAGTTCAACTAGATGCAGACCATGTCTACCCCACTGGCCTCCTGGTTGCTTTCAGTGCCTGTACAACAATACTCGTTGCAGTACATCTCTTTGCCCTTATGGTCAGTACCTGCATTCTTCCCAATATAGAAGCTGTTAGCAACGTCCACAATCTCAACTCCGTCAGAGAGTCTCCACATGAACGAATGCACCGTCACATCGAACTGGCCTGGGCCTTTTCCACTGTTATTGGAACCCTTCTATTTCTTGCAGAAGTTGTGCTGCTTTGTTGGGTGAAGTTTCTTCCAGTTAACAGTCCAAAGTCAATGGTCAATGATACAACTGGAGTTAGTCCTGGGAAAGCTGCAGCAATAGCCTCAACAGCCATCATGGTCCCATTTGGGTTCATTTTTATAGTGTTTGCTGTCCATTTCTACAGATCACTAGTTAGCCACAAAACAGACCGGCAGTTGCATGACCTGGCAGAGCTGGCTCAACTTCAGGATCAGTTGGATCACAGAGGGGACTCTGCACAATCCCCTGGTCATTACCCATAGTTGTTGAAAACCTTGTCTGTAAGGAAGTTACAAGAGTACACCCTTTATCTTTAACTTTTCTTTTTTTTTTTTTTTTAAAACACACAAAAGATGTGTGGCTTAAATTTGAGGTCTCCATGAAGTTTTTTTTCTTTTTGTTTTTTAAATAATTCACTGTAATCAATGTTTAATACAATGAAGAAGGCGATATTTAGCTCTTAAATATTCAGAGTATAAAAGAAAATTTGTATATTTATACACTTCCAATTTGCCAAAGATTATTCTACTGTAGAGTACAAGCCACCATGGTTTTAAGGCTGTGTGCACCACACTACCCTTGTAAATAAACCACATGGAAATATTTACCCATAATCTGTTCTTAGTAGAAATTGCAGGTTGGGGACCAGTGCTAAACTAAATTGTTTAACTATGTTTGAAGTGTGAAATGTTACTGCAGATTTTATTTTATTGTTAATCACAAAACTACTGTTCCTGTTAGAACTCCTCTGTGAAAAGGCAAACATTATATGACTTTGCATGTCGCAATTCCCAGGAGGCTCTCTGTTGCATGCAGAACAAGATGCATCTATAAAGAGTGATATTTTTTTCCCCCTCCCCCCTCCCTTTTTTTCTTACTTGCAATGCATGCTGATATTACATAAGTGTGAGTCACTGGATTGCTTTGAATGCTGAATATAGTGTGTGTCTCCACATGCAAGATCCACAATTACTAGCAATTTGCTTTTTTTTTACTACTTTTATTTATATTGGCAGAACTGAAATGTATATTCCTCTTAAGTTTATTTTGATGTTGGAAGTGCCTTTAACGCACCATTGGTGTTGCATTGTTTCTCCATGAACTGTTACATTTTCCCTCTTGCTGTATATTCAACATGCATATGACCATTTATAGCTAAAGCCAGCGTAGCTAACAGATAGCTCTCAAGTTTTTAAGCTGCACTTTTCATAATTCTTAGCATATATCTACTGCTAGGTGAGGATCATTGAACTTGTAGTTAAACAGCAGGAAACTTACATGTTGGTTGTTAATGGTTTAAACACTTAAATTGTCAATTGTCGGGGCATGCTAAAAGCATGCTTATTTAAAAATTTACCCGTTGACCATAAAAGTGGAAAGCAACAATACTCTTCCTTTAGAAGAAAAATACATTGAGGCAAATTTTTGTCTACATTTTTGCTGATGCAAGAGTCACGGTTTGCTAAAATGCAATAGCGTCTTTGTTTTTTTATTTTTTTGCCACTGTGTGCGAAGTTCCTCATTGCTACTGAGTATTTTTGCTCTTGGTATACAACATTGTGGTGTAAAATGTCTTTGGTAAAAGTTAAATAATTTGCTTCAGCATTTTTTTTATTTTCTTTTTTTCGTAGTATTTAAATGCTCTTTTACAGAAATAAATCTTAATATGAAATTGAGATGTGTTGCAATACTATAAATGTATAGGCAGTGCCTTTCTTAAACTTACATTCATTTTATTTTTTTGTTTCTGTGGTAGCAGCACATGTTAAAATACTTCCATGTCACAGTAAAACATTATACTCCCTGCTGCCTGTTGGCTAATAATGCTTGAGATGCTGACATTCATGCTTGCAGCTGCCATTCAGAAGCAGTAAGACAACTTATGGCTGCTCAGTACAGCATAAAATATGTACATGCCATTGTATCCCCATATTGCACTTATCCTTAGATTCTACCAATGAAGCAATGATTTAAAAAGGAAAAGCAGTTAACAGTGGTAACCATTTTGAAAATAAGTGGATAACAAAAGGGAACACGTAATACATATGTAGTCTCTAGCTACTGGTTATAGATAGGGCTGGACAGAATCTGTCAATAAATATAAATCACATAAACAACTTTCTCTCTGCAAGATATCTTGCGCTTGCATTAATCGTACAAAGCTTCTTTTTATACAGAAACTTTTTCATGTGAGGTTTAATAGGAACCTTCTCAGTTCTATGGGAAGACAGAAAGCAATAGAATTTATTTATTTTTTAAACTGGGTAACAAAATTGTATATTTGAACAGATGAGTCAGCTGTGGGACACAGGAGAGTAGTCAGCCAGGAAATCTGAGCCCAGAAAGCCAGTGTTGATGTATGGCTGGAGGTGGGCACTGCTGCTAATGAATACTACTTGACCCCTTGCAACGAGTTTTAGAATATGCACAGCCCAATAGTGGACTTGCCCTGTCAGCTCTTATCTGTTTCCACAACTGGGTGAAGACGTCACGCGTGTTCATGCTATTTATAGAAAATATTTTACTGGAGGGGCCCATCCATTGATTATAAGAATACCATATAGAAGAAAAGTGCCATTTTCCTTTTTTTTTTCTCTTTAGAATACAATATTTTCACGCACACTACTGTAGGGGAAGTATTTTATTTGTTAATCAGTTTATATTAGACCTTTCTTGTATTCCTAGTTCTGTTACAGATGGCATGCTACATTAACTTTGGTTTAAAAAAAAAAAAAAAAACTGACATGTTATATTGTCTTCACTTTGAAAATCTGTAACACACAAAGTAACAGATGTGGACTTACCATCTTATTATTGTCAGAAAACCACTGTATTAAGACGGACATATAAAATTATTTAAATACAAACTTGACTATAGAGTTGTCTATAGGGAATCTATGTCTAGAATAGAAAATATTTTGTACAATGCACAAATGTATTACCTTTTTTAAAATTCTTTTTAAGTATGGCAAACTTCTCTATGTTTTGTTTTGGGGTATTTACCTGTTCTCCAAGGTGTGAATACAATATTTCCCTTAAGGAAACACTGTAGGGTCAGGAATACAAATGTGTATTCCTGACACAATAGTATTAAAACACATTTTAGGTTGCTGACCCCACTTGCCTCCCTTTTAAAAAGGTATAAAACGTACCTTTATTCCATTGCCTTATGGTTCTCATTGCGGCTGGCTGCACCCCTGCTCCTCCTCGGCTGAAATCATTCAATTTGACAATCTCAGCCAATGCTTTCCCATTTAAGAAAGCATTGGGAGGCTTTGGAGCATGTGCGGCAACATGTAGAGCTGTGCCAATTAACATAATCTTCTCATAGAGATGCATTGAATCAATGCATCTCTATAGGGAGCGTTCAGTGTTTCCATGCAGAGCATTGTGCAGCACTGACTCAGGAAGCACCTCGAGTGGCAGTCTGAGTGACTGCCACTAGAGGTTTTCCTCTAGTGGCAGTCTGACTGCCACTAGAGGTTTTCCTCTAGTAAAAAGTCAGGGTTTACATAAAAAAAAAAAAACCTGCAGGGACAGGCTGTAGACACCAGAACTACTACATTAAGCTGTAGTTGTTCTGTTGACTATAGTGTCCGTTTAACATGCAAAAAACCATATCTTTGTAAGAATGATCTATTGTACCCCTGATCAACTGACCTTTCAAGTTAAAGGGACACTAGAGTCACCAAAACAACTTTAGCTTAATGTAGCAGTTATGGTGTATAAGTCAGGCCCCTGCACTCTTGCTGTCCAATTCTCTGCCGTATAGGAGTTAAATCACTTTGTTTATGCAGCCCTAGTCAGACTTTCACAGCCTTACTAAACACCTGTAAAGTGAGATGCAATGTTTACACTTATTTTATTGCACAATCTGTTTAATTTAGAATTTGTTTATCTCCTGAACTGTTAAGAACTTGCAGGAGCCTCCTGTGGGTTCGGTTTACAGAACAGGAGTTAAAACCTTAACATATGATTAAAAATGAAACACTTTTTTTTTTCCTCCCATGTATGCTGTGTTACAACCAAGGGAGGTGTGGCTAGGGCTGCATAAGAAGAAACCAGCATGTTTTAACTCCTAAATAGCAGAAAATTGATTGAGCAGTGAGACTTCACAGGCATGATCTATACTCCAAAACTGTTTCATTAAGCTAAAGTTGTTTTGATTACTATAGTTTCCCTTTTAAGAAAAGGCCTTAAACTTTAATCTGTATGATTTTTATGCTGCGGTGAGCGACACAGTTCTTTAAACAATCAGACTGCTCTTTGTACTAGGTTTATGATTAAGAATATATTTCCCAGGGATGTATGTGGTTCATAGGTCGCAAGCTGTGATGGTGAATTTGAATATTAAACTGCTTGTATTTGTATAAGTCTTTGGGCTGTGCTATTTGAATAATGTCAGCCATATGTTATTAATGCTGGTCAACTCTGTTGCTGATTTGCATTATTTATTATAGTTGATTGATCGTGCATCAAAAGGATCCTAAGTGCTAGATTTGATCATTAAAAGGTATAACAAAGGCTAGATAGGGTACATTGTAAAAGGGACTAGCAAGAATTGGGTTTGTAGTAGACTAACACCAAATATATGTATTGGTAATTTTTATATATAATATTATGGGGGCATTGGAATATTTTCCATCATGTTAAAGGGATACTCAAAGGATAGAAATGTAATCACCTATTATGGTACATTATATAGATAATGCAATTAAAACAAAAAAATACTCTAGCTAAAATCTTTGCTGCTGTTAAGTCGCATTACTCTATCTGCAGACAGTTCCCTCCCGAACCAGGAAGAGAGTACAACAAATAAGTTTCTCATTCTGGCTTAATGGCTTTCTTTCTGATCACTTAAACCACTATTTATCAAAAAGTTTATGTTGATAAAGGTGTCTTCTCCGTTCCAAAACCAGCTTAATGTTTAACACTGCCTTTTTTCCCCCTTCAGAATAGGAAGTGTTCTGGTGCACAGAGACTGGCCTTAAAGACTCTCAAATGCGAACACTTCCTATTCTGAAAAACAGGCAGTGTTGACATTGCCTCCTACGACCACCACTAGTTCAGACAGCCATTAGATGGGCTTCCTGGTCCGGTCATGCAATCTGTGCAGCTTCCCATATAGATGCATGGAGTTAATGCATCGCTACACATATGTGTACTAGCCCTCCAACACTTTCATGTGGGAAGTAATGATGATCTCAGCCAGGGAAGGAGTGACAGAGGCAGTTGAACTGGGGAATATAAGGTAAATTAAATGTAATTATTGGGAAGAGGGGGTTGGCTGCTTAATATAAATAAATTTAAAAGCTCAAACACAGTGACTGTTGCCACTTTATCCTCAGCCCTGTTAACTATTTTGTGAATAGGGCTGTTAAAAGCATTTGACCAAGCTGATGTACTGTATGCACATGGGCACAGTTTTGGCTTTCTCTGGGAGCATGACAGGAAGAGATATACATGTCAGTGGAGGAAGTCAAATGCACTGTGGTTTTAAACCACTTTGCAGGAAGATAGGGATTGGTTAGGGGAATGGCTATTATGCATCATGACCTGAACAATGAACATTAGTTATGATGCTCATTAACCTAAAGGGACACTGTAGTCACCAGAACAACTACAGCTTAATATAGTTGTTCTTGTGAGTATAGCTAGTCCTTGCAGCCCTTTTGCTAAAAAATAAAATATATATAAACTCAGATGGCTACTAGAGGTGCTTCCTGGGGCAGTGCTGCCACTGTGCAGCACTGACTTTCAGCGTCTCCATGCTCTGCATGGTGATGCTGAACTTTCCCTATATGCATCTCTATGAGGAGATGCTGATTGGTACAGCTCCACCTTCTTGACAATCTCAGCCAATCCATTGCTTTTCCTATTGGAAAGCATTGAATTGGCTGAGATGATCAATTCTGATGATGCCAACCAAGGAGGCAGATCTGAGGCAGAGCTGGATCTGGCAGAGAGGTTTTTGTTTACCTTTTAAGGGAGGGCAAGCCAACTAGATTGTCGTTTTAACACTATAAGGTCAGAAATAAGTGTTCCTTACACAAGCAGGCCCTCTAACTGAAGTGGCCTGGGTGCACTGGCCCTTTAGTTTTGCAGAGGCAGTAATCTACATGATGCGAACATTATAGTGTTCATAATACATGTGTGTATTACTAATGCTATAGTGTTACTTTAAAAAGTAGTGATGTTATTGTGGTCATCTTTAAGCTAATTGGGGCTGAGCTATATCTTGTATTTTATATAATACAGGGTGCTCTTTTAAAGAATTGAAATGCATTTTACAAAAATATTTGTTAAAAGGATCACATTTTGTGTACATTTCATATTTTTCATGGTGCCTTAAGTCCCTGGTCCCGTGTTTGCTTTATTCACTCCCTGCCAGTTACCAGCTGGAGTTGGTTAAAATACAATTGAATAACATTTTTAAAGTATTTGATACTGTGAAGAAAGGTCAAGTGCTTTGAAGTCCTTAAATTATACTATTGAACATTTTTTTTTTTTTTGTAATATAGTGTGTTCAACACACCACTAATCTTTAGTTAGCTATAAATATGTGCACCAAATGGTGCCTCCCACTTTGTACTTACTTGCAGCTTAATTTTGCTTTCTGTTTGAGATAAAATGAGTTGTCTTCAGTTAAATCTGGATGCAGCCTTTTAAGACTTAGAGACACTCTAAGTGCCAAAACCACTATAATCCATAGTAGTGAGTATGGTGCTAGGTGACTATGTCCTGGCTCCTTGCTTGCCAGACTGCTAATGCAAAATGTGCACTTGTACACTAGCAATGTCAATGCAATTCAGATTGGATGGCATTGATTGGCTGATAGTGTCAACTGACACAATAAGCTGTTGTGGTGCTTAGACAACTTTGCATATATATCTAGGTGTTACTGATAACTTTAATATGGGTGGTTAAATCTTATCCATTGATAGAATTTTTTTTATCTACTTAATTCAAGAAAATAATATGCTTTGAAGGGCAAAACATTCTCAGTTTATATGCCGTGCTATGCCTCCATTTCCTATATAATTGCAGTGGATGATGGTAATTGAAGGAACAACTTTTTTCTAAAGTCACATATTGATTTTACTGAAACTGACCAGGAATGGGTTATAATATGAACAGATTACTTTGAATTCCTTTCTGTTACTGCTTTGGCTATGCATTGTGGGATCATACAGAATGCTATTGTTTTAGGATTTCCTTTTTAATTCGTTTTTGTTTTAACCATTTGAATTAAATAATGGAGTGTTCAGCTCCCATGCGTTACTGAAAACGCTTTCCCTTTTTCCCCAAGTGGGTTAACACATAACATTTGGACTGCAATATCATAAACACCGAAACCATGAAGAGGTAACTTGTCTCCTAACAACATAATAAAGATTTATATTCTTTTTATTAAATTGTGTCGCTTTTATATACCTATATAATTGTGTTTTGAGATTGATCATAAAATGGTAAGATTATACTTCATTTATTATAAAAATATTTTTTTACTGTAAAAACACTTTACAAATGCATTTATTTAATTGGTTTATATGTTGTCTTATTGCAAAAACAATTGTCATAAACTGAAACACAAAATGAATGTTCTAAACAAAGTACCCTTTCCAGCTCCATTCAGCAGCATTGTAAATTGTGAATACTATTGATTGAGTTAAAGATATACTATCAGGGCTTTCTATGTTACTAGCCACTGCAAGTCATAGCATACCCTCCAGATGAAAATATCTACTCGCCATGGCAACATTTTTCACTTTGAGAATTTGTCCATATGGTGTTACACTCAATTTTTTTTTTTTTTTTGTTAGGTTCTCCTATAGACGTGTGTGTGTTATTCTTGATCTTCAAGGAATGACTTTCGAGCCTCTGCAAGAACCCCATTAGCATCTTCTAGTTTCACCTAAACACAAGATCAAGTTATTTAGACATGTCACATCGTGGCAACCTTTGACATGCAATTTTGTAAAGGCAGGAAGTGTGGATTGAAAAGATCAATTGTTTGCCAAATTACATTTATTTTAAAGGTGTAAAATGAAAATCTTTATGCTATCTGCTAATGCAGGAAGGGTCACACCGTGCTGGGGGCTTATTTACTAAACCTTGAATTATGGAAAATTGACAAGAGAATTGTATCTTTACGGCCCATAGTTGCTGAGATGGACTGTTTTTCAATTTAATTATTTTGGCATAACATTTGCAATTCATTTGTCAATTATCCCTCAATTCCTGCTTTATTAAATAAATCTCTACTGTATGTTCTTTATCCCTCATTAATGTCTATTGGCATAAGTGGCTCCCTAGCGAAGTAGTACATTTTAATACGCAGAAACCTGTATAATCGTGGGCATCTTGCCGTATTTAAATCTCTTTTAATAGACTTTGTAGTTAGATAAATTCATATGAAGGTAACCATGTTTTAATTACATCTGGTTATGGGGACGCTCCAGGCACTAAAACAACTTTGTCTAAATGAAGTTGTTAGGGTGCCTGGAGGAACTGTTACCTTAAGGGGTTAAACCATTCTTGAACAGTTTAACTCCAAAGTTGCCTTCAGTGGCAATGTCCACTCCCCCTCAAGCTGCATCTGGCTGCAGAATTTTCAGATTAAGGAAGTGCGGAGTGACGCCGGGCAGGGGCACTGCTGATTGTCTGAGAGTCAGCTGACCGCTCTCAGTCAATCACCGGCGCCTCTGCTGAGCGTAACTCAATGTTTCCTGAAGTTGGATGCTGCCTTGTGGGAAGTGGACATCGCCGCTGGAGGCAGTTTTGGGGTCAAACTGTTCAAGAACGGTTTAACCCCTTGAGGTAAGAGTGCCTGTGCCACCAGGGGCCATCTTTGACCATAACAAATTAATTTAGACAAAGATGTTTTGTGCCTGGATTGTCCCTTTAACTGGTTTATGCTGCCTACTGAATATTACTGCAACAAAATAAACTCAGTACCTTCCATAAGGCTAGTCATACTTCCTCTCTATACACCTACATCTTGTGCGGGTTATTTTCTTTGTAAAGTACTTCCTATGTTTTGAATAATGGCAAATGCATAATTGTGAAAAAAAAGCACCTAATGTTTTCATAAAATGTATGTAAGCCATTTACATAAACACCGCTTCCTGTCCCCGTATTAGTTTCTTGTAATAAAATATAATGAACATTCTGGAGCTTGTAGAGCTTTGCAGCGATGGAAAGATATCTTGTATTGTGCTACTTGTATTAGTCAACAGGGAAACCGGATATGTGTATTGATAAAAGGAAACAGATGCTGCCATTGACAACTTTTTTCTTTTTCTTTTTTCAAACCATTTTCTAACTGCGGACCCCCGAAATACTGACTTCTTGTGTATATAAAACAAATGTCATATTGAAAGATGATCAGATTCTAAGGAAACATTTGGTGTTTGTAGTTTTGTGAGATACAAAGACCAGCATTAAGCATTAGCATTAGGGCAGAATGTGTTTTTGTTGCAGTGTAGAAAATATTTTACTGCAATAAATCTTCCAAGCTGCGAATCCGACAACTGGTCCTGTTATTTCCTGGTTGTTTAGTTCAGTAGAGCTAAACTCCAAGAGGCAGGAAATGGCTCAAAGTGCCTGCCTTGCATTGACTTCTCATTGGGCTGCATTGTGAAGTCTGTGATTGGACTACCACAAAGTCTGGGTGGAGTTAGAATGGGAGGACTTGCAACAGCTTCAGACGAGATCTGCAGCTTTTGCAAGCTATGTTTAGATATACCCCAATGAAAATATGCATAATAAAAGCATGCATGTTTTCACTGGGGATATATCTATTAAATAGGTATTTTTATTTGGCCACTTCACAAAGTTAGGGCATCGTTACTATACTGGGCTTTAACAGCATTGAGTTAATGCGTTCCTATGGGGAAGAACAAATGTGCGTGTGATGCTCACCGCTAATGCGCATTAGGTTCTGGAGTCAGGTGTTTAAAGAAAATTTTAAAACTCTGCCTAGTTAATGGTGAAATCTAGTTTAATCTATTGAATTCCATAATGGGAGAAATCTGCCCAGCTCTGTGACATGCAGCAGAAGTCGCATTCTTGGCATACAGACCTTAAGAATACTTTCTGTAGATAAATTTGATACAGATTGCAACAAAATTCAACCAACTTCCATCAAGATGCTTGCAGGCATTATCGTTTCTACACGTCTGGAATATGCATATACACTGGTCATATTTTGATCCTTTCAAGCTTAAAGCACCATGACCACTGTTGGTTTGGTCATGATGTTTGTAATCTGCATGTGCAGCATTTTAACCATGAAACACTACACATAGATATTTAATGATTGCTGCTTGAATTGTATCTCCAACTTTGGTGGCATCATTAGCACGGCACTAGCCAAGCCAGAATGAGAGTTCGGGATTGGCTAATGTCATTCTGTGCATAGGTTATTGAACAACTGTCGGAATGCACATCCAGTTTGTGCAGTTCTGCAAAAATGTGATGTACAACACTGGTTATTAGAGGAAACATGATGACACCGATAAGGTGGCAAACAGTGCCAGGGTACTGGTACAAGAGCTGCGCGCGCATTCAGCCGGTCACATAGGAAAGCATTCATAATGCTTTCCTATGGACGCTGGCGTGCTCTCACTGTGAAAATCACAGTGAGAAGCACGCAAGCGCCTCTAGTGGCTGTCAATGAGACAGCCACTAGAGGAAATAGGGGAAGGCTTAACCCATTCATAAACATAGCAGTTTCTCTGAAACTGCTATGTTTATGAAAAAATGGGTTAACCCTAGCTGGACCTGGCACCCAGACCACTTCATTAAGCTGAAGTGGTCTGGGTGCCTTGAGTGGTCCTTTAATGAAAAAAGTACAACATATGTGAGTTCTGTTTAATGATGTATATACTGTCAGCATATTAGTATTTGCTCAGTACAATAACCAACACTACTAAATGTTAGTATTGATTACATTCTGTTACATAAGTTACAGACTGTGTAGTGCACCTGTGTATTGTAAAGGTGTAAACAGGTAAGTCAGGAGAATTACATATTTAGAATATGGATGTAATAATTATGTTAAGGAACTAGATTAGTATAGAAAAAGATCTGAGTAAAGCATGAATATTAATTCTCAGACATCACTTACCTCAGGTATGGGATATTTTGTTGGGAAGGGAGCCTCTGTGCTTGTGAAATCAATCATAGTTCCACATTTTGGAATATCCTCAAGCCATATTCCTTCATATAGCTGGCCTTTGTCTAGATAATAAAATTTACCAGGACCATGTTTTTTCCCACCCTTCCAGGAACCCTCATAACGATTTTCATTGGCTATGAACAGATAGGAGCTAAATTTTAGAAAAGTTACATGTAACTGTTTGAAATAAACATAACACACTCCAAATACCACTATCACTGAAAAAATAGTAATCGATTTATTCTACATAGAGAGATTGATATTACACTTTCACACATATGTGGAACATTGGCATTGCAGCAGGCTTATGCAATGTATTATCATATACTTTAGTCAGGTGTTTACATTCTGTGAGCTTTGCATTTGCTGTTTAGTGAATGAGCGAGTGTGCTGGATCTTGTATGTTCTATGAGTGTCCCCAGCAACACCCTATAATGTATGCATCTTTAGGTAAGTTCAGCCTTCTTGGTTTTATATATAAATATATTTGGGAGTCCAAGCCAACTCCTGTGGCTTTGCATCCCTCCCGGTCACAGGGGCCTCATTGCAGGGCCATATTTAACCTTGCCCTGCAGAGAGTGCCAGGAGGAAGCATTTCTCAAGTATATTAATCTCATAAAAGCAGTTCTTAGGTTTCTAAAGTAGGAACTGTCGAGAATGGGGTACATTGGAATTGTGGCAGACAGAAGCATTGTGTATGAGCATATACTGTAACTAAACCTGCATTATTATTTTTTTTGCTTAACCCCTTAAGGGCGGCGGGCGTGCTATGCTGTCCTTGGGGACCCTGCTCTAAACGCCGGGGGGGGGGGGGCGGCATAACTCGTCCCTGCCGTCCTATGTACTTTCCCGGTCACCAGCGATCAAGGTGTGGGGACTCACCTGGCATCCCAGGGAGTCCCCCTGCTTCTGGGCCATGTGATCGCAAGGACCTCACGATCACATGGATGGCATAGCCGTCCACCGCAATGTCAGCAGGGGAAGTGCCTGTAATGACAGGTACTCCCCCTGCTGCCTGAAAAATGTAAAATAAAAGATTTAAAAACAGTTTAAAATAAAATATATACTTAGATCATATATATATTTATGATCTTAGTGTGTGTGTGTGTGTGTATATATATATATATATATATATATATATATATATACACATACATACACTGTCTAAGTGTATTTTAATATATAATCAAAATACATGTAGAATGAAATTGATTAAATATATAGAACTAAATATTATAAAATATAAATGTAAATACGTTAAAATAAAATATGTGTAATTTCGTTCTATTTTAAATTAATATATATTGATATCAAAATACTCGTAGAACGAAATAATGTATCTATATACATAAGTATATATCCACACAAACACGTGTGTGTGTGTGTATGTGTGTATATATATATATATATATATATATGTTATAATTTTACATAATTAGGTCATTTTATTAATTACAATTTGCGGGACCTGCTTGATAACCCAGACAGAAAGTCCAGGGAATTTAATTTGCTAGCACTATATTTAACCCTGTAATTTTCCAAGACACGATAAAACCTGTAAGTGGAGGGTGGAGGGGGGATGGGGGGGTACTGTTTTACTTAGAAGACTTAACTGAACACAAATATTAGTGTTTCAAAACAGTAAAATGTGTTACAACGATATCGTCAGTGAAAGTGAATTTTTTTGCATTTTTCACACACAAATGGCACTTATATGGACAATCTAATTGTGATATGTTTTACTGTTTTAAAACACTAATATTTGTGTTCAGTGAAGTCTCCGGAGTATAAAAGTACCCCTCATGTACAGGTTTTATGGAGTTTTCAAAGGTTACAGAGTCAAATATAAGGCTTGCGTTTCAGTTTTTTCACAATTGAAATTCGCCAGATTGGTTACGTCGCCTTTGAGACCATATGGTAGCCCAGGAATGAAAACTACCCCCATGATGGCATACCATCTGCAATAATAGACAACCCAAAGTATTGCAAATGGGGTATGTCCAGTCATTTTTAGTAGTCACTTAGTCACAAACACTGACCAAAATTGGCATTCAAATTAGTTTTTTTTGTATTTTTTTACACACAAATATTAACACTAACTTTGGCCAGTGTTTGTGACCAAGTGGCTACTAAAAAAAGACTGGACATACCCCATTTGTAATACCTTGGGTTGTCTACTTTTGCAAATGGTGTATCATCATGGGGTTAATTCTCATTCCTGGGCTACCATACGGTCTCAAAGGCAGCGTAACCACTCTGGCGAATTTCAATGTGAAAAAACTGAAAAATGTAACATGCTATATCTGACCCTGTAACTTCCCAAAACGCCATAAAACCTGTACGCTGGGGGTACTGTTTTACACGTGAGACATCGCTGAATACAAATGTGTATTTTATTGCAGTAAAAGCAAACAGTATTATGACATTTACAGTTAAAATGTCACGTAGAACTAAAATAAACTTCAAAATTATTTTCTCCCATTTTTTTAATATTTTATTCATAGTAAATTATGTTTCATACCTAAATATTTTATGTTAAATGAAAGCCCTGTTGAATTGGGGCTGTGGACGTTTCTGAAAGAGGCTGCATCCTGCGGGAACATTGTAATTCAATCCTAAATGTACGTAAGGGAAATGTCTTAATAGGACAAAGCGAAACCCAACCAGGTCTATTTTTACACAGTGGATGTTTTACCAAATCTACTGAAGAGGCAGAAGCTCAAACCCAGTGAACTGACAAACATATTGTAGACAGATTTATACTATAAAAACCTCAATTCAATAATTTAAAGATTTTTATTTATTTTTTAAATGGTGGCAATGAATCTTAATTCTGAAAAGGCACCAATGTTTCTATATACCCCTTCTTCTGCTCTAATTATTTAAAAGGACGATATAGTCACCTGGACAACTTTAGCTTTAAGGAACTCTACAGTGCCAGGAAAACAAACCCACCCCCCATCCCATGTTGCTGAAGGGGTTAAAACCCCTTCAATGACTTACCTGAATCCAGCGCCGATGTCCCTTGGTGCTGGGTCAGGCTCTGCCCACACTCCTCCCCTGACATCAGCCAGAGGAGACTTTGTGCCCGAAATAACCACTGAAATCTCGTTTTGGAATTGAGTATGCAACTATTCAGTGCATTAAATACACATAACTACAACAAAATAGTATGACATGCAGAAAGACAAAGGGTAATAAGAGCTCTATATAAACATGTTTACTAAAGGAAGTGTATGGCTTTTAATATCTGTATACAGGCATGTTTTAATTAATAGGAAATTGAGTTTGAAATAGGTCGCCATTTTTTATGTGATGTTTGCAAGATATGTTAAAGTATTGCAAAGTGGTTATCACAGTTCTGTTAGTGTTATGTGCAGTGCTGCCATAGTGAATTAAAAGAACGTTCCAAGCACCATAACCACTACAGTAAGTTCCTATCTTACCTTACCTAACTTACCTTACCTAACTTGCATGAGAGTCATTACTTCAAAGGAACGCTCTAACATAATAGTAATAAATAATGTTTATAATGTTCCCTTTAATACTTAGAATCAAGGAACCTTTGGAAATATAAAAAAAATATATATAAATCGTATTTACCACTTCAGATACCTTTTTTTTTTTTTTCTTCCCAAAGAGCTCTGTTCACACATACACTATTGTCCTGGCAAGCTTAACAGGTTGACCTGTCAAACAGAACTAGACCCCTAAGCTGGTATCTACCAGGATATCGCCAAGCCGACCCATTTAAGGATTGGGCAGTGTCTGCTGGACTATTGGGCAAAGGGAAGCCATTTGACAGAACCAGAGTTCTGCTACTTCAAAGGGAAATTTTTCTTCCCTAAGTGCTGTGTTCACACTCCCTAAAGTTTCCCTTGCCCTGCACCAGGCCCAAAGAGTGCTGCACTCCAACCCCACCAAGTGACAGCGCTATGAGGGAAACCCTCCTAGCGGTCTCTCTGGCCAGCCGCATGGGCCTCCTCATCGGAGCAGAAATCCACCGCGGCCAGCTAAAACGTAACCGGGCGGCGATTCAACACCGTGAGTGTGACAAGAGTGCTCTTTTCACCAAAGAAGGTGGAGAGCTCTCTAGGTATGTAAGACTTGTGGAGGATATTTATGTTTTTATATGTTTATGGGGAAATATTGTGATGGCCCGCCTCACAGCAAGCAGATTGAGAACAGGGCTAGCTGAAATTCAGCAACTGAAAGGGAGTACAGCATCTTCAAATGGGGGGGGGGGAAAGAAGATCCCCTACTCTACCTTCAAGCCCTTACTAGAGACAGATGGCAGCATAAATGGGTACCTGTGGGACTCTGAGAGGCAAGGTACCCTTCACGGATTGACACAGACAATTGGGTATCTATTTTGGCAGGCAGCAGAGGCATACCGCGCCATCCCAGATGAGGGTATAACAAATTATGACAGTAAAAGAGACACTGCTGGCATGGTATGCTATAACCCTGGAAGCATACCACTTTCAAAAAGTGGAGAAAGACTCCCAATAAACTGGATACAAGGCTGCCAGGCTACCATTGTGGTGGATGTGGAGCAACTATTATTATTAGAGCTATGCTACAACTCTGTGGCACCAGAGTTACCACTTTGACAGAAGCTGCAAGGGTGGCAGATGAACACCAAGATGCCAGGAGGGCTGAAAGGCCAGGTCCCAGGGTCTACCATGGCTCAAAGACTACAGGTGGAACACAGTCCCAACCTCAACTAAGACTTCGGACAAAGACCTTTTTGCCTAACCAAGCACCTAGAACCAGGCCAAGCTGCTATGGATGCAACAAAGTTGGACATCAACAACTGCCTGCTAAAACAACCTCGGACAACCAGGTCCAGACTAGTTCCCAAGGCAACCCAAGCCGCAGCTCTGTATCCAGACTGAAATTACCCCTACCTCCAGGCCAGCCTACGGAAGCATGGAGCCTCACACCGAGGAAATATGGGTATATTACACCAGGCTAACCTTGTGCAAGTAGCAGAGGGAGCCATCTATCAGCTCCCCACAGCAAAAGTACATCTGGATTGCGCACCATCTGGCATCATGGAAGTAGGTATGATGAGGGAATTACCCACCAAGGTGGAAGATGGTGAAGGCAGAGGTAAGCCCCGGCCAGCTTACCTCTGCATTCACCATCTTCCAGCAGAGGAATCCTACCCGATCACTATACGGCTGCAAGCTAACCAAGCTAACACCAACTCACACTCTGCCAAGGCCCAGGTAAGACCAATTGCCCCTACCCCGACCAATGACCTGACTTCCCTGACATGGGATACACTGACTGAGTTCCAGAGGGAAGTTAGGGAGGATCCTTCACTGGCCAGCTACCGTGCCAAAGCAGAAAGCGACCAGGGAGGGTTCGATAGGGAAAGGTTTATATGGGATCAGGGACTGTTATACCAAGAGACAGAAAAGGAACAGTGCTGATGCTCAGGCGACAGCTAGTGGTTCCCCGAAAGTATAGGGCACAATTATTAAGGATTGGGCAACATATTCCCTTAGGCCTGGAACCTTGTTATCTGCAAAAGTAGAAATCCAGTAGCACAAAGTTTCTTCTGGCCAGATATCTCCAAGGATGTCAGACTTGCAATACCTGCCAGACAGTAGAAAAAAAGAGGATATCGCCCCCAGGCCTAGCTACATTCGATGCCCATCATAGAGGAACCGTTTAGCAGAGTTGCAGTTTATATTGTGGGATCCCTAGCCAAGCCGAATCCATCAGGAAAGAAATATATTCTTACCATGGTGGATTATGGTACTAGGTACACAGAAGCAGTGGTGTTATCCAATATACAAGGGGAAATGGTAGCTGATGCGAGTTTTCTCTCAAGTCAGGTTCCCTCAAGAAATCATATCGGATCTGGGTATTCAGTTCACTACTGAGGTTACCTACCAACTTTGGAGGCTCTGTGGAATAAGACCCATTCAGAGCTTTCCCTGTCACCCTCAGACCAACGGCCTATGTCAACAGTTCAATGAAACCGTGCAGCAGATGCTTTGGATATTCATTAACGTTTGCAAGGATTGGGAGCGACTCCTACCTCACCTCCTGTTTGCATATTGCTAGGTGCCGCAGAAATCAACAGGGTTCTCCCTGTTTGAATTATTATATAGGAGGCGGTGAGGGGGCCACTAGGTCTCATCCAAGAGCATTGGGAAGGGGAAACGCAAGCAATGGACTAAAATCCTACCATACGTGCTGATGCTGAGGGACCACTTGGAAGACTTAACTCAGGAGGTAAAGGAAATCCTCCAAGCGGCCCAAAGCTGCCAGTGGGTCTTGTAGTATAGTCGCACCAAGAACTGCAATTTACAGGTCGGGCAAAAGATTCACCCTTCAAGACAAATTGCAGGCCATGTGGCAGGATCCCTACAGAGTGGTGGAGCAGATATGCAACACCACCTATATTGTGGTCAGGTGGAAAAATTTCCACATCAATATGCTTAAGGTAGAGGAAGAGTGTAGTGGCAGAGTGTGCCCCCACTTCCGAGGACTATGACAATCTCCCGCTACCCAATATCCTAGGAGAAGGTAGCCAGACAGGGTCAACCAGAAAGGTTCAGTTAGGGGAGATTAAGGCCCCCTAGAACGGACACAAGTTTGACAGCTCCTAGAAGAAAATCAAGAGGTCTTTTCTAATAGACAAGGCTACACCATCTTAGCAATACATCTCATGAAGACTCCTGGGCAAACTCCCATTAGACAAGCGGCATACCGCATGCCTGATGCGATTAAGGAAAATATGAAAAAAAAAGAGAACCAAGAGATGCTCCAGCTAGGAGTCATAGAGGAATCAGACAGCCCCTGGGTCTCCCCTGTAGCTTCTCATACCGAAGTGTTACGGGTCCACCCACTTCTGTGTTAATTACCAACGACCCTACGATAAGACAGTCTCTGATGCTTACACCATGCCCCAAGTAGACAAGCTGCTTAATCGCATCGCTAGGGGAAACTACGATAGGCCTTTGCAAGGGTTACCGGACACGGCCCCAAAGTCGATTTTGTCACCCCATATTGTCCTGTGCCAATTTAAGGTCTTATAATTCAGGATGAAAAACACACCAGTCCCCTTCCAATACATGGTGGACTGTCAGGATAACATCGCCATCTACAGGGCAATATGTCAAGAGCATCTGGTACACATCAGAGCTGTATTAGACAAAATTAGGACAGCCAGCTTAACTCTAAAACCAGATTAATGACACATTATGATGGCCGAGGTGCAGTACTTGGGTCATCGGTGGCGTGTCAGCCTCCTCTGACATTGTCAATGGAGAGAAAGCTAATGGGCATGCTGCACGCTTTAGGCATTTCCATAGGAAAGCATTGAATCAATTCTTTCCTATGGCGATTTTAAAGAAGCTGGATGTCCTCATACAAAACGGAAGGATGTCCAGCATAATTTCAAGTTATAAAGTCTGTGTAAACGCAGGAAGTCCCTCTAGTGGCTGCCTGGTTGACAGGCACTAAAGACACAGGAAATGTATGGTATACAATGTATACCAATTAGTGGAGCGCTATACAAAATAGAGGTAGTGCAGGGGTTAAACTTACCCCATCAATTCAGTGTAACAACAAACTTGAAAGTGCAAGCGGTACGTATGGAAAATACAAAAAATATAAAGTTTATAGTGCAGATGGTCTCAGATAATAATCGGTGGTAGGTAAATAAATAGAAATACTCACATGGTCTGGAGCCTATATGGTATTGGCTCCGTAAGGTAAACCTTTTTGCTCTTAGGGCAGCAACACACCACTCCCTCACTGATGTTCCTCCAAGAGAAATACAAAAAAGAGAGAGAGAAGCGACCAAATGTGCGATACTCAGGGGCGGGCTGGGGCGGGCTGGGCCGGGGGGCAGGGAGGCAATTGCCCCCCAGGCCGCCCTAAATTCCTGTAAGGCCGGCCGCGGCGGGCCGGCCCTTTAAATACTGCAGCCGCCTGAGCGCTCTGTTAAGAGCCTCAGGCGGCTGCAGCTTCTCCCCTCCCCTCCCCTGTAGCGTGGCCGAGCTGCACTCCGGTCCGCGGTGGCCGGCCAGCCGCCGGAGTGATAGGAAGGGTGCACACTGAGTGTGCACTTCCTGTCAGTCCGGCCGGTTACAGGAAACAGAAACTCCTGTTCCGCGCGGAGTTTCTGTTTCCTGTTACCGGCCGGACTGACAGGAAGTGCACACTGAGTGTGCACCTTCCTATCACTCCGGCCGGCCACCGCGGACAGTGCAGCAAACAGGAGGAGGGGGTAAGAAGAGGGAGGGAGGGAGGAAGAGGGAGGGATAAAAGATAAGAAGAGGAGAATAAGAAGGGGAGGGAATAAGAGGGAGGGGAAGAAAGAGGAGGAGAGTAAGAGAGGAGGGAGTAGAAGGAGGAAGATAAGAAAAAGAAATTAGAAGAAGAAGAAGGGTGATAGAAAAAGATGGGAGGTAAGAAAGAAAGAAAGAGGAGGAGTAAGAAGAAAGGAGGAGGGAGTAAGAAAAAGAGGGGAAGTAAGAAAAAGAGTAAGAAGAAGGAGGAGGGAGTAAGAAGAAGGGGGAAGTAAGAAGAAGAAGGGGGAAGTAAGAAGAAGAAGAAGAAGGGGGAAGTAAGAAGAAGAAGAAGGGAGTAAGAAGAAGGGGGGAAGTAAGAAGAAGAAGAAGAAGGGGGAAGTAAGAAGAAGAAGAAGGGAGTAAGAAGAAGAAGAGGGGGTAAGAAGAAGGGTGAGTATGAAGAAATGGGGGGAGTAAGAAGAAGAAGGGGGAGGAAGAGGAAGAAGAAGAAGGGGGGGTAAGAAGAAGAAGGGGGAGCAATAAGAAGAAGGGGGGTTAAGAAGAACAGGTGGGGGAGTAAGACGACCAAGGGGGGAAGTATGAAGAACACAGGGAGGAGGGGGGTAAGACGAACACAGGGGGTGTGAGGAGAACACATAGAGGGAGGAGTGAGAAGAGCACAGGGAGGGTGGGTGAGTGTGAGAAGAGACCGCTAGGGGAGGGTGGGGAGAGGAGAGACCACTAAGGTGCAGGGGAGAGCTCTACGGGACAGAAGGGGCAGCTCTATAGGACAGGGGCCAAGACAGGGAGCTCTTTCACACTACGCGCGCGCACACACACACAATGCATCCCTATACATACACAGAAACACAACATGCTTCCCTTACACACAGAGAAACACACAATGCATCCATTACACACACACACACAATGCAACCCTTACACACAAAGACAATGCATCCTTTGCACACATACACAGAAACAGACAATGCAAACCCGTACACACATATGCAAACACACACACTTCTTTTCTTACATACACACAGAAACACAATGCATCTCTTACACTCAATGCACACACATACAGACACACACCTTGCAACCCTTATGCATACAAACACAGATTCACACAATGCATCCCTTACACACAACCAGAAACACATAATACATCCCTTATACACAAATACACACTGCTTCCACTACACACAAACACACTACATCACCTGCACAAACTGGTAACCCTATACACTACATACCATAAGCACACATATTAGATCCTCTACAATAACACATAACACATCCCCTACACACTCCACTCCCTGTGAGCGAACTCATGGGTGGGTGGAACTTATGAGTGGGCCTTATGGGCATACTCACCGTCAGGCCCTGGGGCCCAGACCTTGAGCTGTGTAAGGGGCCCCAAAAAATGGAGCTGCTTCCAATTCTCCCAGAACATTGAATTTTGTGACCACAGCTGCAAACAGCCTCCAGAGATCCTGTTCTACACCAGACCAGTGGAGCCAAACTGCAGCCCATCATCATCCTCATCTGCTTGTAAGTAGGCAATCTAGTATATTATTAGTGACACTAATCTATAATGTACCTCACATTAAAGGGACACTATAGCTTAATGAAGTGGTTCTGGTGTCTATAGCTGGTCCCTGCAGGCTTTTTAATGTAAACACACACTGTGTGCAGCACTGGCGTTAGTTCATATGGGTGGGGCATTGTGATGTCACATGGGGGGGCAGCAAATTTTTATTTTGTCTAGGGCGGCAAAAATCCTTGCACCGGCACTGATCCTGGGCAGGTGCACCAGTCTACTGGTGACCCACAGGAGGGGAGTGCACTGATTGCACTGCACTCTCCTCCTGTCCAGCCCCATCTTTACCGCAGTGCAAGTGCCCTCTGCCCCTAATTTACAGTGGCTCACACTCACAACAAGCAGTGCCTGGAGCCGTGAAGGAGCGGGTATGGCAAAGAGCTACTGATTAGCATAACATCAATATCCGTTATAAAACCAGGAAAAGGTGGGCATGGATGGTGAACTGATTTGGTGGTGCAATGGGCCACTTGACTGGTTTTGCCCCCCAGGCCTAAGGCTGCCAGCCCTCCCCTGGCGATACTATACAGAATGCAGGTAGTACACCTATGGTAAGTATTGCGCTCACCTTTTTAAGAGCCTTAAATTCCTGGCTCTGACACTCAAGGATCTGAGGGGGAACGAAGAACACACTTTCCTGATACGCCTCAAATACAAACAGATCCGGAGTTACATTACATCCCTCCCGCAGGGACCGGCACTACATAGGGCCACCACTCCCTTCAAGAATCTATGCTTGGAACCCAACCCACTAGCACATGGGGTATCGGCACTATACACCCTACTAATAACACTCACACCAATTGCCCAACCACGGTTCATGGGGAAGTGGGAGTCGGCACTGGGCCAGACCTTTGACAAAGTGGAATGGGAGAAAATCTGCTATTTAACGCATCACTGCTCTAGCTACAGCAAGACACAGGAAACGGCATATAAACTACTGACACACTGGTACCACACTCCTGAGTCACTACATGCCTGAATTCCATCCCACCCCCCACAGTGCTGGAGATGCGGGGAGGACAGAGGCACACTCTTACACATTTGGTGGGCGTGCAAACAGATAGCCCCATTCTGGTCTGAGATTCACAAAATATTGGCAAAGTTTACAGACGACCCAGTCCCATTCGACCCAGCAGTCATGCTCTTACACCACACTAAAACCCCACGAACAGCTTATAAGAGATCACTCACTATTCGCATACTGAACACGGCCAAAATGATCATACCACAGTATTGGAAAACACGGGTCACCCCCCCTGTGAGAGTTTGGTTTACGCAAATGGAAGAATTGAGATCCCTAGAGGAACTTCACCACAAAGCTCACGATACATTCCAAGTGTACCTCAACACTTGGACACATTGGATCCTGAAGACAACAGACCCCGAATTTACTAACAAGACATAACTACCACCACACAGTTAGCTGCTGGAGGCTACAAACCCAGTGAGGAGCGGGGAAGACAGCCACACAGGGGCGGGTCTACCTCCGGCACCAGGGGCTAACCGACACTAGAAGGCCCGACAAACACCCAAAAGGACAAGGGAGGCCCTGTCACATAGACGAGGAGACCACCTCAACTAAATAGGGCACCCCGAAGAGGGGAGGGGGTGAGAGAGGCAGACCATAGGACCCGGGCTGTCACGCGACACTCTCACAAACAGGCACGAGTAACGGAGACATACACACACACGCAATATTCACAAGGGACTTGTGGGACTGACGTAATCGCGGGCATACGAGCCCAATAGAACATGCAACTGTATAAAAATATATAAGAAAGAGTGTAAATGCTGAAGAGCAAGACACAAAAATGGACCAGTCAACATGTTTGTCATTTTTCACAGTTCTATATTCATGGTTAAATTAATGGAGACCTGCGAGTCTCAATGTGCTGTCATTTGCCCTGTAAGCACACCGCAAGACAATAACGGAGACCTGCGAGTCTCAATGCTCTGCCTTTTTCTTTGTGTGCACGAAATATGCCAATAAAAATATATTTACAAAAAAAAAAAAATTCCTGGCTCTGAGGGTAGTCAGCAAGGTGCCACTTTCTGGGGACAGCACTTCCCCAATGAAAGTTCCTCAAGGCTTCAATGAGTTGGTTTAAAATAACTTTTACATTTATTAGGTTACAAATAAAAACACATATAATATAAAAATAAAGTAAAAATCCAAATAAAGTCCAGATCTGCCGAAACGCGTTTCGCTATTCCATGACCTTCCTTGATTAGCTGTGATGAAGTCTGGGAATGCTTTGTCTTTTAAATGTCCTGTGAGTCCTTGAACGCCTCCCCTTTGAGGTCACAAGGTTTATATATTTGTAAACCTTTTCACACTTGTTGTGTGGAGAACAATAGCCTTATGGCTGAGGGAAGTGGTGTATTTTGGTTTTGTGCTGCTCTTGACATGACTAAACCTGGGCACCACCCTAATCTAAATTTGCCCTGTCACTTCCTGTCAAGGCCACACCTCTTCCTGATTAAGAACCCACCCCTTCCTCTTTAGACTCCACCTTTTTCTACTCATTTTAAAGGGATACTATAGTGCCAGGAAAACAGTGCCACTCGGCACTGAAGGGGATAATAGCCCTTCAGTCACTTACCTGAATCCAGAGCTGGTGTCACTCGACGCTGGGTCAGGCTCCTCCTCCACGCTTGTATTAGGCTTCCCCACAGGAAAGCATTGTATCAATTCTTTCCTATGGGGATTTAGCAGACGCAGGATGTCCTCATGTACAGCGTGAGGACGTCCAGCATCAGTCAGGCGACAGGTAGACAAGAGGTGGAGGTGGAGTTAACCGCTTAAGATAGTTATTGCAGTTTCTGGAAAACTGCAATAATTACACTTACGGGGTTAAGGCGACTGGGACACTGCACCCAGACCACTTCAACGAGAAGTGGTCTGGGTGTCTATAGTGTCTCTTTGAGCACACACTCAGACAGACACACACACACAAACACACGGACGTCACTGACAGACACAGACTCACTGATTTGACACACACACATTCACTCACTGACACATACTGGCAGATGCACACTGACCGTCACACACACACAGACGTCACTGATAGACACAAACTCACTGATTTGACACACACACACTCAATGACAAACAGACTCTCACTGATTTGACAAACACTCACACACACACACAGACACACACTCATACACACATTACATTTCTGACATACACACTCTGGATCCCCTGTAAGAAAACACACACTACATTCCTTAAACACACACTCACTACAACCCCTACATACACTACATCACCTATACACACACCTACACAACAGCCCCTATGCACACACTCACTGCATCCCCTATACACATTATGCCTCCTATACACATACAGTCTCTCATTCTCTACAGCTCCTAGCCACAAATGATACACCACAACAAAAGGTATTTACACAAAACACCACACCACAATCAGCTCACTCTACACACATGCAATCCTCCCAAACACATGCAAAATACACTTTTCTGGTCCTTTTATCCTCTGGTACCCCAGTTATGGAGACATCAGAGACAAGCCACAAGCAAACACAGTGCAAGCATATTAATACATTTGCTTGCACTGGGCAGAACAAATACGGTGCCTCTTTCTCATGCAAGAGCTCTTCAGCAGGGCTCATGCATGAGCTACCCTGGAAGGGCATTGAACTAACATGCTCACTTTCAAAGAGGGCATGCTTGTCATTGGTGATGACAGAACCCCCCTTCTCTAGCCCCCCACCCCCTTCTCAATGGGCCACAGTGATCAAAACATGCCCAGGCTGCACTACCAATAAAAATAGCATGGACTGAGAGGTTTCAACTACTTCTTTATCCAGCGAAGACCCATTGCACAGCTTGCAAATCAGATGAATGCATAACTTAAAATGTGAGTTTCTTTGTATGTTTATGAATTTGCATTACATACGGTGACTCAACTCCACCTCTGCATGTCTTCTTTAAAATTAAACCATCTCTCCTTATATGAAGCAGACAGGCTTGTTTGTTTTGAATGACAATGTAACTAAAATATAGCACTGTTAACAACAGTGAGAATTGCTTAAACACCCGGTGAACACTCTCGAACTGAAATGAATCTGTCTACATAGGAAATATACATATAATCTCAAGCACAACAGAATGAGACAATACAAGGCATATACAAACACACCGAGTCCAGCTAAACATTTAGAAACCAAGGTTGGCAAAGGGACTGTAACATCCAAATGCATCAACTGAAGAAAAGAAACAACAATAAATCCAGCAAACAAGTCACATCTGTCAGTCACGAACACTCTTGTGGAATCTAACAAACACATGCGAATCAGCACCCAAAAAACATCAACAACTCCATAACACCCATATAATTACTAGCAAATAGAGCCCATTATAAGACCTACATCACGTCACATTTAACAGTGGTTTTATTATTTTCAAACTAACTGCCACTAATACAGTTTTTTTGGGCTAAGTCATCTTTAAAGGAACATTAACTTTTTTTAAAAAAGAATCACTCGTATTACTATTTTTACTAATAATGTGAAATAAAACTGCTGTTCCACTATGTCACAGTATACACACAGCACACGTTGAGAGACTCTGACATACAGCAACAACCTGAAAATCAGTGTCTCATATAGATGCCATCCTCCATTTATAATGCATACTGGACACATACTCACACGAGACATTGAGACATCTAAATTACATTTCATTTCGATTCCATGTGCACTGATGATCTTCTGGCAGGTGGAACAGAGTTGCAGCGAGGGACTCTTTTACCACTGGATTAGAGGTAAGTTAACTCTCTAACAGATTTCTGGGGAAATGGGGTTCCAGAACAATAAACAACACTCCAGCATATAAATAAATGTGATAATTTATATTACTGGACTGCTCCTTTAAACGCTCTGTAGGAAAGAACATGACAGAGAGGAAAAACATCCAGAAAATAAGAGATAAAGGCTCAACAGGTACATAAGTAAAAAAAACCTGGGACGAAGTGTGTTAAACCTTAGGGGAGATTGGAACAGACAGGATTACTCACTAAACTCCGATTTGTAGAGAACTGAAATCTAAATGCCTAATTGAAATGAAAATAGCCAAGCTGAGACTATAGTGACTTGGAGAATATTTACAAATCAGCTAATTTTGCCAAAATTCAGATTTTATATTCACTACAATTTGGAGGTTGGAGAAAAACAAAACAAAAAACAGAGTGAAGGTAAATGAGCTACAATAGGTAGACAGAGATATTACGGTTGTAACAAGACAAACCGGTATAGATTATTATGTGGCAAGTACCTAATCGGAGCATTCCCTGTCCATTATGTTTATCTTCTAGCCATTCTCCTTCATAGATATCACCATTTGCAAAGTACATTCTACCCCAGCCACTTCGTTTTCCATCTTTCCAATCTCCTTCATAATATTCCTTGTCTGAGTAAAACTTAGTTCCATATCCCTGTAAGAAAATGCAAACGAAGAAAAACATAAAAGTAATTAAAACATTTATTACATTCTAATATGGATTTGGTGTCTTCATCTTTTGTAACTGCAACTGACTCTTCCTATCCTTACTGGACCTCGGATAGTGCAAAAGAAAGTGAATAAATTGAAACTATAATGTATAATTGTCCATTATAGTACGTTGTCCCCCTATACATCGAATACACCATAAATCATAAAGATACATGGTGTATTCAATGTAAAATATGTTCACTCAATTTTCCTCTGTTCTACTGAAGCTTCATAGGTGTTACTCTTCCTGGCTGTCCTTTGCTTCGTCCCTGTTCTTATTTGATTTGTCCTGCACGGGACGCATACCCAAACAGGGCAAATCTTGTCAGTGATGTTGGCACCCTGGCTTGCTGCCAATAGTGATGGCTAGGGAGTTTCCATAGCAACCACAGCGCATCAGAGGTGAGCAGTGGGACCTCATGTGGGATGCTGAGGCATTGAATGACAACTGGGAGAAAATAAAACTTTTTTAAATAGGTTTTTCTTAAAATCCTTACATTTGTTAGCCAAACTACTTGCGCAATGTGTTGATAAAATCTTATGCTCAATTTAATAAGCATAAGTTGTTTGGTGCATCACAGGTGCCCTTTAAGCTCAATTACAAATGCTAATGAAAATAAAAACAAGGTCTAGAAGAATGGTCGAGAATTCAAAGTGAATTTCAGACTTAGCTAAACTGGCTTTAAATTTGAAATTCACCTTAGATTCACAAAAAATGCCGCCCTCCAAATGCCCAGGGCAAATGCCTAGTTAGCCTCGCGGCTAACTGACATGCTGGGCGCTGGGCTGGCGGCTGGCGAGGGAGCTCTTCCTCTGAACTGTCTGCTCAGCTCCCTCGTGCGCCGCAGAGTGAGGCTGGGAGCCGGAATATGACGTCATCAACCCGGCTCCCAGCCTCACTCTGCAGCGCGCGAGGGAGCTGAGCAGACTGCTCAGAGGAAGAGCTCCCTTGCCAGCCGCCCGCCCGCCCGCCAGCCACTGCACCCCCAGGGAGAAAGGGACCCCTCCCCCCAGCATTCCCAAAGGTAAGGAGGCTGGGGGGGGGTTAAATAATAGTAATAATAAAAAAAAGTGTTAATGTGAGTGATTGTGTGTGTGTGTCTGACTGTGTGTGTGTTTGTGTCTGACTGTGTGTGTGTTTGTTTCTGACTGTGTGTGTGTTTGTGTCTGACTGTGTGTGTGTCTGTGTGTGTGTTTGTGTCTGACTGTGTGTGTGTGTGTATTTAGAAGGTGGGGGTGGCGCGGGGGGAGGGGGGCGCCTGAGTTTTGTCCTGCCTAGGGCAGCACAAAACCAGGATACACCACTGCTCACAAGAACAGCTGTTCTGGTGACTATAGTGTCCCTTTAAATATAGCTCATCTCTCGCTATTCAAAATCTAAAGCTTGTTTGATCCATGTCACTTCTCTTCATCTCTCCAATTTCTACTTCCTCCTCTCAAGTACCTCTGAAGCTCCATTATACTACAATTCTGCCTGTACTGTTCTAATGCACCAATTAAAGCTCATTCTAAATGCCTTCAACCCTGGCACAGCAAGCAAAGCTGCTATTTCCAATGATCAATGATTCCTTTAGAATACCTTACCTTATCCATGTCATTAGTCCTTTAAGAAGTCACTGATAGCAAACCTATGTAGGGCGGCTTGCTCTCTTCCTGGGTGATGCTCCACACATTACAATTGGCCTCCTTAGTTCCCTCTCATCCTTAGCCCAGCTCACTCTCTCTCCACACTTTAGTTCTTCCACACACCATATTTACTAATTTATTTACCTTTAACACACAGGTATTTTATTCCAACCTCTTCCTCTCTGTCATGCTTTTCTTCTTCTGGTATTGTTTTACCCTTTCCTCACTGATTGTAATCTCGTATGAACAGGGCCTTCTTCATCTCGTCTTTGTTACTATACTGTATATAAATTTCTTGTTGTCAAATATCCCCATCCTATAATTGTAAAGTGCTGCAGAATATGTTGGAGCTGTATAAATGCTAATAATAAATAAATAAATAAATATATACACACATAAGGTCCAATGTTAAGAAAAGGATGCTTCATTCTTATGAATATAAGACTATTTTCAAAATTTGGATTACACTGCGTATGCTATGGAAGAACGTATTCACTCATTTTCACGCCCCAGCATTATTTTTCTCTAACATACCCATTATATAATTTTGCATCAGCCTGAAAACCACTGTGAAAGGTCTGGGGATACCACTAATATCCCACATACCACAGTTTCAGAGCCAGTAGTCTAAAGTGCCTGTTCCCAACTTTAAAAAAAAAAAATTATTTAAGCATAGCCTAATGCATATCCAAAAATATTCATGCAGCGAGTATGGTAGTAGCATGGTCTAACATAAAAAGTTCAACATGTATAATAAGTACAGCACAGGTCTCTGGCCATGAACCAAGTTTAAAATTTTATCCAGAAAAATTAGTGAGTAACCCACGTCATTTCCTCCATTGAGAACCAGAAGTTCCTCTGTGTTGCCCTCCTTAGCTAAATCATGCAGGGAGGGACAGCTCATTGACTGACAGCATGTATGATGTAAGGATACTCACTTTACCCCAGTAGGACACTTCCATACACTTCCATTCTTTGAGCTGTCTATTGACTCTACTGAGTCAATAGAGGCAACAAATTCAGTTCTACCAGGTTAGTGAAGTTTGCACTAATTCTAATTCTTAAATAATTGATAAATTTAGTATCCCAATCAAAGTCAAATCTCGTACTAAGAATCTTTTATTTTCTCTTTAGAAATGTTACTTGCTAATGCCACCAATTTATCTAGTTGTAATTTATAGCCCGACACTATCGAGAAATCATTGACTGCTATCACTTCTATGAGTGAGTCATTAGGGCTTTGTAACGTCAAGATGACATCATTGACATAGAGATTGATCTTGGAGCTTTGTCAGGAGGTCTCATATCCTCTGATGTTAACATTACCTCTAATGTCAAAGGGTTCAAGTAAGTTTACATAACGTAATCAGTGCAATGGGCTATCCTGACTGGTTCCATTGTTAAGACGGACCCTTCCAGAGATGAACCCATTCCCCACCATCACTAGCCATTGGTGTGGCATATAAAGCCATAATGGCATCCAAAATCCTACCCTCAAAACCAAGAGCAAGCAAAGTCTGTTTGAGGTACCACCACCCAACCCTGTTGAAGGTCTTTTTGGCATCTAATGAGAGAGTCAGAAGGGGAAACTCTTATTTGGACTGCATCTACCATGTCAATCAGTCTGGGATGATCTTCTAGGGAGATATCATACCTGGTCTGAGTGTATAATACTGATGATAACTTGGTTTAATCTTTCGGCCTATATTGAGCAATAAAGTTTAATATCTACATTCAATAAGACGATTAGCCGACAGCTTGCTACATTCTCAGAAGCTTTATCTTGTTTGAGTATGGGGACTATGTTAGTCTATAACATTTTACCAGGTGTATTTTTAGATGTACTGAAATCATTAAAATATTTTATAAGATCCGACTTAATGTCATCCTTCATTATTATGTAAAATCCATTGGTAAAATCAAAGAAACTCAGTTTTCCTATTGCTTCCTTATTTCATTTTCCACTATAGGGGTATTAAAATAACTTAGTTGGTCCTGTGTAAACTTTGGGATGTTGTACCTCCCCAAAAACTCTGAAATCAAATCTGCAGAGGGACGGCATGCAAGGTTGTAAGAGTCTTCAAAGACTAACGTGATCTTCTCTGGGATCATAACTATTTTATCCTTATCTTATTTTATTATGTATTATAGTAAAAGAAATGTAAAACAAAAAAACAAGCGAAAATCATACATGTTTTTTGTCGTTTTTCCAGGATCCGGAATACACCTTAACATACACCCCAGTGGTAGGGTCTTGCACACTGAATGTCCCAAAGCCACTTCTTCTCCCGCATTCCCATTCACCTTCATATTCAGAATGTGTCCTCTTCCATGTATATGTACCTTTGCCTAGATGATAATTTCAAATAATGCCAAAATGTCAATTCAGAATGGAAAGCAAAAACATCTAGGTTTCAAACAGGATATTTTTTAATGTCCTTGGCAAGCCTGGGTGGCACTGTTTGATTACCATGCCATGCATTTTGTGTCTTATATAGGCTTAAAATTTGCTCCCTTAAAGGAACACTCCACACACTCTAGTGCTTTATGTGTCTGGAGCCTGTTACATTTGTGAAAGTTTATAAAAGTGCACGTTTCAATAGAAATTGACACTTTTGTGTTCAGAAACACCTCACTGGATGTCAATCAGAAAGCTATGAGATGTTCTTCTACTTCTGTTACCTGCACAGAGCTAACGGAAATGGCAGATGTTCTGCCTTCTCAATGAGCTGTATTACAACACATTGAGAAGCATTAAAAAGCTGTAATCATGTGTCCGTTCATGCTCTCAAGGAGAAGCCTCGGATTGAAGTATTCCCCAGCACAAACCGAAGGTCTGGGCTGGAAAAAAAAGGACAGGGCTAGCAAAGGCTACAGATAAGAGACCTGCAGCTTTTGAAAAATGTTTATAGATAAACCTCCAGTTAAAATTGCACAACTGAATGCATGCATGCTTTCATTGGGGTGGTGGGAGGGGGCAGGGAGGGTATATCTACTAAGCAGAGATTTATTTATCTTATAAATAGGGAAAGGAGTGTTCCTTTAAGATTGGCATCCTAAGTAGCAATCGAGTTGTTCCTATTTTATACTAATCCTATAGAATGGAGAATATGAGACAAACCTAGAAACACTGTCTGTTCTAATATCACTGGGATCTGACATTTATAACTGTAGCCGCCTGACTCACCGTGCTTTAAATTATTAAACCATTCCCCTGAATATTCATCACCATTTACACTGTACACGGAATGTCTTAAGCCAGATTTCTGTGCTTTGTGGTCCCATTCCTTCCAAGGAGGTTCAGCCTTCTTTGGAGATTTCACCAAGGGCATTGTGTTAGCTACTGAAATGACAATGTACGGTCAAAACTGTGTTCATTCAAAGAACTATTTACAATAATAACAACAACAAAATACAGTTCTACTGCATAGTTAAATGCTGTTTATTTGCTAAACTGTGAATTGAAATCAAATAGCAAATTTTAGGTCAAAATAGCTGAACTAGAAAAAAAAACCTTGAACTCTGCAATTCAGTTTTTAATTTGCCACTATTCCTAATTTAGTAAATAAGTCCCATTAAAAACATAAATTGAGCATTTAAAACAAATGTGTATTCCTGACACTATAGTTGAGAAATCAGTATTTAGGTGGCAGGTCCTCCTTGACCCCCTGTGAAATAGGTAGTAGCTTTACTGATTGCCAGCACCGCACGGGTCTCCTAGTGCCTGGTCCCGCGCACACCCAGCCGCCTTGATTGAGATCATCAATTTTGATTATCTCAGCTAATCTAATGCTAATGCACATGTGCGGCAAAACACCAAGCTGAGCCAATCAGCATCTCCTCATAGAGATGTATTGAATCAATGCATCTCTATGGGAAACATTCCATGCAGAGTGTGGAGACGCTGAATTTCAGTGCTGCATATTGTGCAACATTGATTCAGGAAGCAACTCTAGTGGCCGTGTGAGTGACTGCCACTAGAGGTATTACTAGGCAGTAATGTAAACACTGCCTTTTCTCTTATTATATTTAAAACCCTGCAGGTACATACTATACACAACAGAACCACTATATTAAGCTGTACTTATTCTGGTGACCCCCCCCCCAAATCAGCTATTTAACTTCAATTTTGCCATTTGGATTTCACTTTACCGAAATCCGGTATTTATTGAATATCGCTGTTAAGATGTGTAGAGCTGTATGGGCCTGGTGATGGTGTTTAGGGCTAGTGTTAATATAAGTGTTAAGGAATGCAGGAATTTATTTCTAGTGATTGTGTTACTGTAGTGTGTTAAGTTAGTATATAGAGCCTAGGTTAGAACTAAAGGGACATACTTGCTCCTGAGATTAGTGGGAGTTACTGTACTGGGCAGCATCTATTTCAGCTGCCAAAGCCTATTGTCCCCAGGCTGTACAGAGATGACCCATGCATGTATTTTTGCACTAGTTTTATAATTTTCAACCACTAAAAGTACTTAAAAAAAAAAAAAAAAGCTATGGAACCCAAGTGTCACACATTCTCAGAGATCCTTAGTGCTCTCACACACAATAATACAGATTTACCCGTGCTTCCCATGTTTATGTATACATGCACCAATTAATAACCGCCAAAGTACCATGTTGCAGCACTTCTAGTATTCTCATGAAAATAAAATCAGTAACTTACCTCCGTTCAAAATCTGGAACTGAACTTGGCAGACCAAATGAAATAAATAAATAAGTAAAAATACACTCAAAACAGAAAACTGGCATGCATTCAGCTGTGCATATGCAACCATGAGAACAGTTTCCACAGCAACAGAACGCTGAGGCGCCTAGTCAACACTTATAGATTGCTTGACTAGTGCATTCAACAGCACCACCTCTCATCTGAATCTGGTACTGCACCCAAGGAGACTGGTCATGAAAAATTGCAATGAATACGAATTCTAAATCAATTTTCATTATTTGTCAATATATGTCATTTTGTGAAAGTGCACAGGTTTCAGCATATAATACTAATAATCTTTGTATGGGAAGGTTTTCTATAATAGAAATGTAAGTAATAAACTGTTACAAATTTCTTCATTATATGCCCCTAATATTCCCCAGCTTCTCCTGATTACATTGACAGTAAGAAGCAACATTTTTGGTTGGGGTATTGTACTATGCTTCAAATAATTGCAGTCTTAAAGGCAAATAGGGAGACTATTGAAGGTATATTATTTCATCTTGTTTACAGAACTACTATTGCATTAATATTTTAAGCACTATAACCACTAGAGAGCATTGTAGTGCTTATGGTGCCAGGGGTGCCCTGGCACACCCTTCTCCTAATATATGTAGTCAAACTGTTCAGTAATGGTTTGATTTCTTATTTGGGATCCACTGGGCACCATTCCCTACCTCCTCAAAGCTGGAAGCTCTCTTTACCAAGCTAAACTCAGCAGCACAGGGCTTGGCTCATTGGCTAAGAGTAATCAGCTGACCAATAAGCTGGCATTGCACTGCAGTACTTAGCTCAGGAGAGCTAAACGAAGCTCTTAATATGAGCTTTGAACTCTCACTTCCAGCTCAGAAGAGGCATGTAGAGGTGCCCTATGGATCCCAGGTAAGAAGTCAAACCATTACCAAATGAGGGCAAAAAGAAAGATAGAGCATCATTGATAAGCACAGAAGTATGGAAACATGAGAAAAATGAAATAAAGAGACATTAAAGGGGTGATACATGAAGTACCTCCATGGACTGCCAAGAAAGGGAGGACCTAACCGCTGCCAGAGTTAAGGGTTTGGTACTTAGGAGATACAATTGTACCTAAACATGGAGAGGGGACTTACCATTCTGTCAGGAGAAGTGCAGGGATCCTAGTTCGTGTTCTGCTGGTTGTGCGTGGTGTTTGTTTCTCTTCTTGTTTTGTCACAGCTTGTGCGATTCCTGGCCAGTGCAGTACAGTGGAAGAAGGTGCCTAGTCAGCTTGGGGAGTTGCAGCCTGCTGAGAGCTTATGGCGGGGGCAGGCTGCTACGGACACTTGGGTCTTCCTGGTCTGTCTGTTGGAAAAGCATCACAAAAACTGACAGGGTGATAATGTTTGCTGGCATATGGTGTTTTAATAAATAAAGCTATGGCCGTTGCCCTTATCCAATAAACTTAGGTCTTGTGTATTATTGGGCACCATGAAGATGGGTATGTCAGCAGTCATGAGGATTTATGCAATATGATTCTTTAATTTAATTTAATTTGCCTTTTACATATTTTAATATATATATATATATATATATATATATATATATATATAAAAGAAATAGACTTGGCACTCGGAGTGATCCTGTAAAGAACTATAAGAAGAGTGAAAGTCATAAGAAACGTGGATGTTACAGATGCAGTGGTTACGTCACCTGTAGCCATATATTGTCTGGGAATTCCTTTGCCCACCCTCACAGTGGGAAAAGAACTGCCATCTCACACTATATTACGTGTACAACAGACCACGTAATTTACCCTATAACATGTCCTTGTGGATTATCTTATGTGGGGAAGACGGACCTAACCCTACGGGACCGTATTCGGGGACATAGGTCCGGTATCATGACAGCCTTTAGGGATCAAAAAACTGACAAACCAGTGGCTAAACACTTTCTAGCAGCTTCACACAGACTCCCTACATTTAAGTTTATGGCTATAGACCATGTCCCTCCTTTGTCTCGTGGGGGTGACAGGTCTAAGCTATTACTTCAAAGGGAAGCTTACTGGATTTTTAAATTGGATACAGTCACGCCCAAAGGCCTTAATGAATATAATACCTATTCTATGTTTTTGTAATTTATGGAGGTATTCTCTATGGTTATTGTGACTTATTGCAACCTATGGTTCACGTGGAAAACATATGGCCTAGCCATTGGCACAAAGTATGTAATCTCGGGGGCGGAGCCGACTGCCTAACCGCATGGACGTGTGCTAGCTGAGCTCCTCACTCTTGGAAAGCCAATCCATCGCCATCGGGCACTAAAACTCTTAAAATGGGACACCCAAAACGATCAACCGCTGGACAGCACTCTACCCACAGGACCCCCGCAGGAAAACACGGTGCCCTGACAAAATTCTTCAGAGACTCAGCGGATCAAGCAAATGACCCGGTAGGCCCCAACATGGCGCCCGACTCACCTCCGGCCTGTTCCGCGCCGATGAGTCCCACGGGCTCTGAGATATCATCTCACTCATCCGACCCCGACATCAAGGAGCTCATCAAGGCACTGCCTTCCAAGCAAGATTTGGCCCACATGCTCCACAGGCTCGAGACAACATTCCAGACCAAATTGGATGCTATAGGGGCTGAATTTAAGCAGACGAAACATAGAATATTCGCGTTGGAGGAGGACAGGGACGCGATGCAGGCGCAAATTAGGGCGCTTCAAGACACGGTGACAGCCCAGAACACACAGGTCTCTGTCATGCAAAGATCGCTGGATGACCTGGACAATAGGGGACGGCGAAACAACCTGAGGGTGAAGGGCCTCCCCGAATCTGACAGGGAAAACCTGCCTGATATACTGCAGGAGCTCTTCAATCTCATCATAGGCCGTTCTACTGACACACAGATAATTTTTGACAGGGCCCACAGGGCTCTACGTCCACGAGGCAATGCATCTGATGCACCCCGAGACGTAATATGCAGACTGCACTATTATGACTGCAAGAACAAAATTATGGAGGCCCTGCGTCGCTCCCAACAACCCCTATTATACCACGGTGCCCCAATTGCAATCTATCCTGACCTATCATGGATGACCCTACAGGCTCGTAGAGTACTGAAGCCCATCACGGACCAGCTACGAGCTAGAAACGTAAGGTACCGATGGGGCTTTCCGCTCTCGCTGACTGCCACCTACAATGGAGCCTCACACACCATCTCCTCAACTCATGATGTACCACTATTCCTGAGGGAAATGGAACTCCCAGACGTCCAAATACCCGACTGGTACGGCATTATACCACCGCCGAACGCTCCGAGGCTTCCGCTCCAGAACCGCCGACACCAAACACCCACCAAACGGAGAGCTGACAGAGCTGCAGTGCCAGCGGATGATCCAGCACAGGCTCCTACCCTCTATTAATTGCCGAAGACAAGCAGCTACGACAGCTGGAGGAAATCACCCTGCCACGGACATACATCTCACCTTTGCCCCATCTCGACAGCCCCCGAGGCCAATTGGATACAATCACAAGAAGTGAAGCACAAGACTGACCGCAGCCCTGAGGTCTTTTGTCTTACACCCGACGGACGCAGCAATAAGAGACTCCCCCAAGAGGACTAATGGAACAGCATACCGATGCCCGTCAAGATGGCCCAGCTTCCGATGGTCACGCAAGTACTACCATCGCTAGAGACATAGCGTTGTTCCCTCCCCACCCTCCCTACACCTATCTAGTTTAATTAATCCCCAGGCACGGACAGAAATGGATGCCTGACACCGGTTGACCCTAACTAATTGCCCACGACCTTGGCGGCACCAAGGGTACTAAACGACCCTAGCACTGTTGCGCTACGGGGCTACCAGGCTAGTTGATCTGTAAATATATGCCCAGCTGGGCCCCCCCTCAAGGGTCTAAGTATCCTTTCTCCCCTGTCTGTCTATAACCCTCCCTTCCCTCCCCCCCCTCCCCCCTACCCCACTCCCTAGATGCCAATTGGTACACGGTCGACAACTGACCAGGTTTCTGCTAAACAAAAAAAACAATAAAATGTAACGAGGAGGCTAAATAGATACCCACCCCATTCAAGCCCGACATCCTATTCCCCCCTACCCCCCTCCCTCCCCCTCTCCCCCCTCTTCTCACGCTGGGTTTTACCATGAAACTGATATGCCAAGAACTACAGAGACGATGGTTGGCTTATGACATGTGTTCACCTTAAAAGGGCACCTTCCCATGCGATAACCTGTGATATGTTCTTCATGTATTATTGAATTGTAAAGTGAGTTGTGACACCCAGATAGGATTCAGGCAGAGCAGGCTACCTAAGAGTGTACGAATTTTACTGGTGAATATGTGCAGACAGAGACTTGTCTAGGCTCAGAACCACTCGCTTGTACTTTAGAACTGCTAAGCTTCTCACAAGATCCTTAAGCCCACGCTGGGCCCACTTAGCTGTCGAAATGCCCCCTCATCCCTCCCCCGCTTATATTCAGTCTCCCCCGTCCCTTCTCCTCCCTCTCCCACCCCGCCTCTCTCGATGCCATACAGGGACCTGACATTACATTGCCAAGCCCTATGTGGATCACCATGTTCATCCAAACCCGCCCTCTACCAAGTCCATTGACACCTTGCGTCCCTAGGCGAGGGAGCAAGGTGCACTGATATGGGACAGATAAACCCCACTAATCTGAGATCCGAGTAGAAAAGGGGCACCCCCAGGCTTATAGTAAGGTATGACTGTGTAGGTCCATATTCAATGGACATATTCAAAAAAAAAAAAAATGTGGGTATATATATATGTATGTATGTATATGTGTATATATGTATATGTATGTGTATGTGTAACGCAAGGAAATATATACTCTCCATCCCCCAACCACACCTATCTTCCCTCCCATCCCCCCCCCTCTTTCTCATAAGGGGCTTTATTATTATCTTGACAGGCTAAGACTCATGGGGAGGATGACCGGCTTAACGACCGGGATATTGATTCCCTGGATACCACCCCGTAAGATAAAGTGAGACAATGTTTACATGCCATATTAAAATGCTCAAAGGGATATGATGACAAGACGGGACTCAGGCGCCAGACAA